AAAAAGACAAGAAAGCCTTCCATAGTGTAGTAAATTTAATAGGCAAAGTTAAAAATTACAAAGTTTTCCACTCACATGCTCCTTTCCATAAAAAAGCGTTTTTCCCAGCCTGTGGGTAGATATGCATGCACCTGGGGGAATCCAATATGGCCACTGTGTCCGGACATACGTCACCAGGAAGTAGACAAACCGACGCGTAGCGTCACGTGCGTCGTGACTTCATCAGGGTTAACCCTGACTTCATCAGGGTTAACCCTGATGAAGTCACGACGCACGTGACGCTACGCGTCGGTTTTGTCTACTTCCTGGTGACGTATGTCCGGACACAGTGGCCATATTGGATTCCCCCAGGTGCATGCATAATCTACCCACAGGCTGGGAAAAACGCTTTTTTATGGAAAGGAGCATGTGAGTGGAAAACTTTGTAATTTTTAACTTTGCCTATTAAATTTACTACACTATGGAAGGCTTTCTTGTCTTTTTATGAGTTGCATAAGAGAGGAGGAGGAATAAGGAGTCTGCCAGAGGAATACACCACTGAGGTGGTAACTGCTTTGAGGCCCTGTGTGGGTCGAGGAAGGGAGGTGAGCATTGCTGCCATTTGAAGGAGAGTACTTGCACTTAGAAGTGGAGATCACGTGTGTGTTCCAGCTTAAAGCACAGTCACATGCATGGAATATTTTTTTCACCTTTGATATTGTCTTGTTCACCTATGGCATATATCATTTATGTATAATTTAGACACCATTGTATGTGGCCAATATTCTGTTTTCACGTATATATATATTCTGTTCATTATATTTGATTTATGCACTATATATTTAGTTTCCTAATGTGTGTTATTTAGCTATTTTGGTTGACACTATTTTTTCTTTTCACTAGAGGGAGTCAACACACATTTATTATATATAGTGGTCACTTTGATTTATAATTACACTATATGGAGATACATGATTGTATTCATGTGATACAAGCGCTTCACTAATTTTTAATTATACTAGCACATTATGCCATTGTCTTGCAGGTTTTTGGTTTTTCTGGGGGGGTTTTTTTTTTTTTTTTTTAAAAGGTCACGGTTTGCTACCACTTTAAAGACCTAGAAGCAATGGGATTGATTTACTAACAGCAAATAGGCTGTGAATTTACAAAAACTGTTTCCCATAGCTTAGTGAGTGTGGTGGTGAAAAATCACTTAGAGAAGAATATCCAATCATGCGCAAGGGAAGTTAAAAAAAAAAGTATTTCTGCTTGCACATGATTAGAGGATGGAAGACAGCAGAACTTCACCGCATTTACTAAGATAAGGAACAATTCCCTTGCAAAGTACAAATTCGCTTGCAAAGTGAACAGCCTATTTACCTATAATAAATCAACCCCCAATGTGATAACCCTGTTTTTTTTTTTTGCTATTTAACATCCTTATTGTTTCTTAAATCAAAAACCCAGAGAAACAGTAAAATACACAGTTGTATATATGTATGGGAACAATCTGATCTGCCAACAGATTTTTAAGCCTGTCCACCAGCCTTTGTGTTCCAAACACCTCTGCCATCTCTTACTGCTAAGGAATATAGCAGTGTCCCTTCCTTACCCACAGGCTGTTGACTGGACAATGAAAGACCTGCAACACGCCAATAACACACTACCTCTGCACACTCTGCTCTCTCCTCCTGGCAGCATGTTTCCTATCAGAACAGGCAAATACATCCTGAGTCTGATTCGTCTTTAGTGCTGCCCAGGCCAAGTGCTGCTGTTCTGGGAATTACAGGAGACTGATACAAAGACAGATTCAGGGATGTACTGTATAGTAGCTTGATGTAAAAATGTATTTAATATGTAAAGGAAGACATAACTACACTGATGTTTTAATATCTGTTTGGAGTTCTTTTTTTTGTAAAGTAACATATGGTATGTATTTTCTTTCTGTCATTTTAATATCATAGGTGTAATGGCCAATCTATTATCCCTTTGTAGAACAGGAGACATACTTTGAAAAAGCAGATAACAAAGCATGTGCAATAACTCTGTATACTGCAGCTTATTTTGCCTTTAAACTTTAAGGATAAGTGCACTTAAAAAAACCCCAATTGTTATTATAGAGGATTTATATAATGCCAACAGTTTGCTCAGCGCTTCACAATATAAAGGGAGATAATACAGCAACAATAGAGTTCAATACAAGAGGGATAGGAGGATCCTGCTCCTTGGAGCTTACATTCTAAGAGATAAATGCACATTTTTTTTGCAGGATAAAACAATGTGCATTTATAATTTTTTAAGGCCAGTGCGAATTGTAGCAGCAGGAATCTTCTGTTTACAGCTGTGGATGAGAGTGGCTAGGTGCAGCCACTGGCCCCCTTCACTGACAGGTTGCTGGAGACCACAGCTCTTCATGGCTCTCTGCACAGCCAGCGATTACCGGCAGTGATTACTGCTGGATACAAGGTCTGGGGAGAGGCGCAGAGTAACATATTACATCTCACACCCTAAATTCGGATGTAGCATGTTACCAAAGGTGAGCTTAGCCTTTAAAGCAAACATTTCAAGTAAAGGTATGGTATGTGTATGACAATCTGGTGTTGATTTACTAAAACTGGAGAGTTCAAAATCTGGAGCAGTTTTGCATGGTAGCCAATCAGCTTCTTAACTTCAGCTTATTCAATTAAGCTTTGACAAAAAAAAATCTGGAAGCTGATTGGTTTCTATGCAGAGCTGCACCTGATTTTTCACTCTCTGGTTTTAGTAAACCAAACTTTCTATTTCAGTGCAGTTTAGTGCTTTTTATATTTACCTTTAATATACTTAGCAAGGACCTCTGGGTTGCTTTTAACATACTGAGCCGTGGGATCAAAGGATAAAATCTTTCGAATCAAATCACTATTTACTTTCTGAAAGATATAAATAAATTTAACTTAGTTTGCATTTCTCCAAATGAGTTATATTAAAAAGAGAAGATGTGCATGTAGAATGCATTTTAATTTTAGTTTCTGGAGCAGAGTAATTCATCTTATTGGTAGCATTGAGAAACACAAAAAAATTTTTTTTTACCATAACCATAAGGTGCAGTATTATGGTTATGGATTTTAGATTACATGAAGGATCAAATATATGTATGTAAGGAGGTCTCACTCTCATTGTTGGAAGTATAAAACAACTTTAAAGTAGATATCGTTAACAATATGTTAGTAGTAATAATAATAATAATGATATTAAAAATCAGGATGAGTTTCTGGGTTAGTCCGGACCCATGTATTGATGGAACTTATTCCAAGGTTCGGCAAATGGCAGAACTAAATAGGTGCTTGGCAGGGGTGGACTGACCATTTGGAAACTCGGGCACTGCCTGAGGGCGTGGGGTCAGTAGGGGGCCCCATGACAGCGCCCCTGATACCTTTTTCATAGGCTTTTTTGAGTTTGGGCAAGGACACAGGGGCCCCATGATCCCCTATTGCCCGGGGGCCCCATGAATTGTCAGTCCGCCCCTGGTGCTTGGCCAAACTGAACCTCCAGCTACAGTATTGGTACTGCTGCTAAATGTGACAGCTTCCCACTGAGGCTGGTTGTTAGGGACAGGGACACAGCTTTTCATTTGCTTTTTGGCAACCTTGATATTGCAAGACACTGAATTGAGATGAATGTGTAAATAATATATTTTTTTATGTCTCAAGCACATTTGCATATCAGTGCAGTATATCCTATTAGACACAATGGTTATTGCAGCATCTTGCACAGGCAAAACCTATACATATTATGTATATAACATGTATTGAATACTATTTACAACATTTATTGTATCGCTGTCTTGCCATACAGTAATACATTTACCACAATGGAGAGGTGGAGTTACACTTTAAGATTAAATCTTACAAACATAAGTCTATTGGCCAAGTATAAGCTTTTTAAATTGCCTGCTAAGACTTGTGTTTGTAAGAATTTGTCCTAAAGTGTAACTCCACCTCCCAATTGTGGCAAAATTGATTTAAATTGGTTTTAAACATGTTGCCTTAAAAATGTACACTGGGGTTTGGGAGTCCAGAGTCAGTGAGCAGAAAAAAATGAATGGAACTTGTGGGAAAAAAAGCTGGAAGCTCTTGTCATAGTCACATGAGCTTCTCTCTTCCAATCAAGGAGCTGACTCTGCTGAGTTAAGCAGAAAGAACTCCATGGGGGTCTGACAGCTCCACATTGTGACATGCATTTTATGAATGGGCTGTGGTATGTATAGCCCTGCAGAATATATTGGAGAGCAGACAGTGATATAATTATAATTGAGCTCCTTATTTTAATGTAAAATAATCAGTTCACATAAAATAAATGATGTCAAGGTATTCTAGGCAGAGATATGAGATTAGAGTCACCTGACTAATCAGATTAGGAAACAAATGTAAGGCTCCATGCATACTAACATATTTTAAGCTTCTAGAACATTATTTTATGCTAGAAGCGTTTTTCAAGCTTCATCATTTAGTAGCAGAAAAAAAATGTTTTTGTAGAGTTTTTGTAGAGTTTTCCAGGCAGAAAAAACCACTGAAGGCTCCTAAAAGCTTTTTTTTTTAAAAAAAAATGTACAAACACTAATAAAACACTAATGCTCCTAAACGCTTCTAAGCGCTTCTAAAATGCTACTACAAGCCAGCACAAAAACACTATTATATATGGTTTTTATCCAGCTTTTTTCTAGCATTTTTTTTCTAGCCTCCATGTCTGTAGATCTCTGCATACATTGTGCAGCTAATCATTCAGCAGCTAGCCCTTTGGAAAATTTTTAGGTAGATTACTAGAATAGGACGGATGCAAAAACTACTGCGTTCCTGGTATACTGATATACCCACCAATTTACACTGATTCCAGCTGTGAATCTCCTCAGATTCATCCCACTCAGGAAAAAATAGCAGCAGCACAGCTTTTAGGATACTGTGCACCATGACTGGTGGCTCCTTGTAGCTCTTCAGTTCTGCAAATGACTGGTGGTCCAGTTTGCTGACACAGTGCCTCAGATCCTGCAACATGAAGCGATGGAACAGGACTCCTACTTTTCTCTGTCCAGATCCCTGTTCTGCCTCTGTGGTCACAATAAAAAGTCTCAAATACCCAAGTTACTCAAGTCAGCCATTTGCAAATACACTTATTCCCTTTCATACATATTAGAAATCTTAAAACACTTTCATCCAAAGTCACTGTTGAAGGGAACCATGGGGTTGATTTACTAAAACTGGAGAGTGCAAAATCTGGTACACCTCTGCATGGTAGCCAATCAGATTCTAACTTCAGCTTTTTCAATTAGGCTTTGAAAAAAAAACAAACTGGAAGCTGATTTTCTATGCAGAGCTGCACCAGATTTTTCACTCTCCAGTCTTAGTAAATCAACCCTTCTATTTCAGTGCAAGTTAGTGATTTATATAATTACCTTTAATATACTTAGCAAGGACCTCTGGGTTGCTTCTAACATACAGAGAGCCGTGGGATCAAACGATAAAATCTTTCGGATCAAATCACTATTTACTTTCAGCTTGTTCAATCAAGCTTTGACAATAAAAACTGGAAGCTGATTGGTTTATATGCAGACCTGCACAAGATTTTGCACTCTCCAGTTTTAGTAAATAACCCCCTATATAGTAAAAAGACTGCCACTAAAGAATGTAGACTGGGCTTCTTGGCATTGTTCAATCAAACATAAAGCATGTCTCAACCCAAGAACACGACGTTCGGTAGTTATACCGGAGTGATGCCTGCAGCTGTAGGAATAACCCTGGTACCGTTTGTTAGAGCTGGTGGTCGGCTCTCTTGTACTAGCAATCAGAGTGGCTAAGTAGAAGTTTGATTGCATTCACAAGCAGCAGGAAGGGACGCCCCTCCTCCTGGTCCCTCCGGGAGAGCCGAGTGACCAGCCGACATGTCTGCCGGCTGACTGGACAGCTAAACAAAGCCGTGATCAGCTTTGATCATCTCTCCCTTATAGTAAACCAGAAGCAATGACCTGACATCACTTCCGGTATACTTGCAACTATCGGCACCATTTATGAAAAACTGAAAGCATTCAAAAACACTGATCTTGGTATTTTGAATGTTTTCAAGCGCAGAGGATTTTGGGTTTTGTAGACCCCACATCCCCCCATAAAGAATACCTGTCAGAAGTCTATTGCTATCACAAGGAATGTTTACATTCTGTGTGACAGCAATAAAATTGATCATATAAAAATTTTTTAAAGGAACAGTGTACAAATGGTAAAAATGTTAATTAAGCAATTAATTATTAATTAAAATTGCTTGTGCACAAAGGTGAATGCACCCTTCGGTTCCGCATGCACACAAACAATCGTCCCACAGATATGAGGACTCGCCGCCAACGTCAGATCATGGGCAATAATTCTAGCACTAGACCTCCACTGTAAATCTAAAGTGGTAACTTGTAAAGGCTTTTAAAGTGTTGCCTGTAAATAGTAAAATTTACATAGTTGGTTGCCATTGCATGGGCATGTTTGGTATTTATTTACTTGGTGTAACATCATCTTATATTTTACATAAAAATTGGGTTATGTATTGTGTTTTTTTTGCACTGTAATTCAAAAGTATTTTTTCCCAAAAAAATTGCATTTGAAAAACTGCTGTGCAAATTACCAAGTGGCATAAAAAATGCAAAAAACACCAATTTGTTCTCTAGGGCCTCTCCTTAAAAAAAATATATAATTTTGGGGGGTTCTAAGACATATTCTAGCAAAACATACTGATTTTAACATGTAAACAAAACGTGCCAGAAACAACCTGGAGCTGAAGTGTTAATAGTCCTTGGATAAGGTTTCTGCACTAGTTTTATTTTTCAGGGTTTTTAAAATTAATTTTCACCTGCCAATAACACACTTCCTGTTCTCTGACTTCTCCTGACTTCTCTGATCCTCCCCTTCTTCCTCCTCTTATCTCCTGATAAGACATATGGTGTGGAGACACTCTGCACATGCTCAGTTTGGTGTGTATTGCTAGAGGTTTTTTTGTTCCTTGGGAAGGTGCATGTGATCAGCACAGGGCCAATCAGCGCTGCCCAGACAGAGGGATTCTGCATCCTCCTACAGCAGAATGAAAACTCCTTCTACAAGCTTTAACATGTGCTCTGCTGGACACTGACAGAAGTCACAAGACTGCTCTAACTGCTGATGAGAAAAGGTATTTAGCAGTTTATATTTACGAACATAATTGCACTTCTATGTTCTGTGTACTGTGGGAGACCACATGTAGTGAATGCAGGGTCCTGGGTTTAGTGACAGTTTAACAGTTAGCCGAGACCAGGGGCGGACTGACCATTTGGAAACTCGGTCACTGCCTGAGGGCCCGAGGGCAGTAGGGGGCCCCATGAGATGCCCCTGGTACCTTTCTCATAGGCTTTTTTGAGTTTGGGCCCCATGATCCCCTATTGCCCGGCGGCCCCATGAGTTGTCAGTCTGCCCCTGGCTAAGACAGAGACCACAGGAAGTTATCAGCTGACAATGGGGGTTTCATTTACTGAAACTGGAGAGTGAAAAATCCGGTGCAGCTCTGCATAGCAACCAATCAGCTTCCAGATTTTATTATCAAAGGCTAATTGAACAAGCTGAAGTTAGAAGCTGATTTGTTAACATGCACAGCTGCACCAGATTCTGAGTGCACTAGTATAATGAACCCAAAGGGAAATAAAAAGGGCCAAATTGCGGACCTTTTTTTTTTTTTCTTTTAATTTCCCTTTGGGTTCAATATACTAATCATCATTGGACGTGGCACATAGGAGCCCGTTATATGCCTCCACAGTCTGTCACTCTATGTTGGGTGTGTTTCTTTATGTCTTTACTTCTGAGTGCACTAGTTTTAGTAAATTTCCCTCAATATTTTTAACAGGATCAACAGTTTCTTTTTTTGTACAATTCGAACAGATATAACAAAACATGTTCACTGATATATGTAACAGACCAAAGGAGGACAAATAAGAGTTCACATACCCTTTAAAAGTTTGTCTACCTTTTTACCATTTTATAGATTTTATGCAATTTCCTTCCTTACAGATCAAAAATGCTTGAATTTATTCTTTCAATTTTACTTCTGCATCTTTTCCTTCTACTTCTATATTTTTTTTTGCATGACTATATTAATTATTGTCAAGACTTGCTTCTCTTTACTTCCTGAGCTTAGATATGGATATGGCTGCTTACAGTTTATGGCAGGGTGTGCCTCTGTTAACAACGTTGTGGTAGTTTGATCAGAAGTTAATTACATGTGAAGGCGTGTGCATGCAATGGAGAGGAGATATATGACATCTGCTCTTTATCTTAGTTGAATTTGTTCATGTTAACTGACATAAGATCATAGCTCAAGTTTGATTCATTTGTAACAACTCCCCTGCCTGTATAGTCCTGACTGTATGACCTATCCCAAGTGGAAGGTGTATAAAGCTAGATGATCCTTAACATACAGATGGAGTTCTGCCGTGACCGTGTGGTCTGAAATATTTTAATCCTAATTCCTGGCATTTGTTTCAGTGCTTCTGCGGGCAATTTTTAAAAAGTGAGAGCATAGGTCTACAAAATACAAACTACATAATGCAACTCTCCAAGATCTCCTCTTTCATTGACTTCATAAGTAGGAGTGTTCAATCTAGCATAGAGTTTCCAATGACCAAGCATGTTTGACTTGCATTAGTGAGCATGTGTAGACGTTTGGAGGACAGTGTGCAGCAATATAATTCTGACACCAGCTTTTGTTGATAACAATAGAGATTAGTCATAAATATCTGACACTGGTGTTTCCCCAAAGATTGGTCAGCTAGGTGTGCCTGATGAAATCTGATGACACCAGCAGACATGAACTGCAGAACCTGTCCACCCACAAAAACTTTAAAATATATATATAGGTATGTAATGGGGGTTATTTACTAAAACTATCAGCTTCCAGGTTTTATTGTCAAAGCTTAACTGAACAAGCTGATAAAAGTTAGAAGCTGATTGGATACCATGCACAGCTGCACCACATTCTGACTGCAGCAGCTTTAGTGAATTGACCCGAGTGTGTCTGGAGTATATTTTAGTAATAAATATTTAATGTTTTATAATTCAGTGCACTTATCTACCTTATAGTACACCAGGCTTACTAAAGAAATCACATTTTGTGGTCTTGTTCTGTCAAGAATCATTAAAGGAGATTCCATTAGTGTCTTAGTGTAAGGATGATACTGCCATCTTGTGGTTTGAAAGGATTATGCAAGCTCCTATTTTGCTGCTTGGTGATATAATGGTAACAAGTGCTATCATTAGTACATATAGGTGTCCATTTATGAACCAGCTGTAAATGATTGCTGCTCAGTTCTCCCGGAATTCTCAGAGAACACAGTTCTCCTGTGAATGCCTTTTATGAAGCGGTGTAGATCAGTTCTCCAAACGAAGGGAGAACTGTCTACAAACGCTGGAAAACGGCTGCTTTTACTATAATCTCGCGAGATTACAGTAAAAGATCAGATTACTAAGCAGAGGTAAATTATCGCTGCATAGTTTGCGGTTCCTCTGATTCTCCAGCTCTAGGCTGAAGAATCTGGAGGGAGAACACAGATCTCCAGTGAAGAGCTGAACATGTTCTCCGCTGATCTCCTGAGTGTCATAGACTGTGAATGACCAGAGAATAGCTGCAATCCTCTGAATCGCAGCTATTCTTTGTGTCATAAACGGACACCTAAGCTGGAGCTTGGAGAACAGACTCTCAATATGACTACTTTGAGAGTGCAGAGCACAAGCATGCACATGCACCCAGCTCAGATAATTTTGACAGATGGCTTTGAAGTTTTGTCGCCAATATCTTGCTTGTTCAGAGACAGGTGAGTATAGGAAAGACAGAGAGGTTGGGCAGGGGTGGTTTCAAAATATGTGTAACTGCACCAAAGGCTAACACTAAAGCAGTATTAGTACTTGATGAATTGGTTTCTACTGTTGTGTTTTCCTCAGTCTGTAATATGACATATAATGGTTATTAGACTTACCTAAGACAGCCTTTTCTGCTGAATCCTTAAATTGCTGATCATCCAGAAGTTCATTGCATGCTTCCTGCAACATTTGTAGCATCTTTTGCAGATCCTGATACTCATGAGGGGGCAGTTCTTTACAGTGGCCAGTGTTTAGGTCCAATACACCTAAAGCTCTTCCTGTATAGTCACGGATGGGTACAGCAATATGACGTTCTCCATAGGCATCAGTGGTGATAACTTCAGAGCTATCTGCACACTTGAACAGGTAATCCCTGTAAAAAATGGCAGTTTACATTAGAACATAATCTTTGGTCTTACTTGAATTTGAAAAATTGAGTTACAACCTCATAATTTGTTTCACCTATCTCTTGTGAAACAAATACATCTACACGGGTGATTCAGAGAAAATATTTTATTTATCACAGGTACTTATATAGTGCCGTCGATTTACGCAGTGCTTTACATATATATATATATATATATATATATATATATATATATATATTGTACATTCACATCAGTCCCTAACCCTCAAGGGGCATACAATCTAAAGTCCCTAACTCACATATTTATACTAGGGCCAATTTAGACAGGAGCCAGTTAACCTACCAGCATGTCTTTGGAGTGTAGGAGGAAACTGGAGTACCCGGAGGAAACCCACGCAGGCACAGAAAGAACATGCAAACTCCAGGCAGGTGGTGACATGGTTGGGATTTGAGCCAACAACCCCAGTACAGCCAGGTGGAAGTGCTAACCATTTAGCCGCTGTTCTGTCCCAATATATTGAAAATGCTCACAAACAGGAGTGTATTTATGATGAGCGATGTGGGAAAAAGTCATAGATGAACGATTGTTTTGAAAATGGGCCCAAGAAGTCATGTTGCTGCATGACCATCAAGTAAATGTTCTCTTCTGGGAAATGCTGCTGGAAATTGCGGGTCTCTTAAAAATGAGGCTTGGGGAGGTGTAGATGATGACAAAGCATATTCAATTTGTAGTGTGACCAAAGTTTACAGGGATTGGTACTATAAGAGGCTAAATCTGTAGGGGAAAATAGACTTTGTCCAGTACACCAGGTATATGGTAAGGGTGGATGGAATCCCACTCAAACTTGACCCAAGGTCTAAAATATTCCATTGAGCTAGTTGCAAAAAGCATGAAGCTAAATAGTATAACCATATATATGAGAGGCCAAGACCACATTTGCAATTAGACCCATATAATATGTTATGCGGAAAATAGGGCCAGGTATCAGACCAAATAAAATGGTTAAGTTCTGATTAAAAAGAACCGAGAAATGTTTTTGTTAGTCTAAAAATGGAAGGGCTCTAAATAAATACATAAAGTATATCAGTGTATTTACAGTCCTTGCATTGCCTTTTGTTTGTCGATGAATAGTCATACATAGAGAATTATTATTATTATACAGGATTTATATAGCGCCAACAGTTTGCTCAGCACTTTACAATATAACGGGAGACAATACAGCAACAATACAGTTCAATACAAGAGGGAAAGGAGGGCCCTGGTCCTTGGAGCTTACAATCTAGGAGGGAGGGGCTAGTGGTACAAAAGGTAGTAACTGTGGGGGATGGACTGGTTACAGTGCCAGAAACTTTAGGCAGTTGGAATTTAGATGAAACACTTTGTTCTTCTGCAAGTATTTGTTAGAGGTTGCCACTTATTGCTGCTGAAAGTTATTAGAGGGACCTTAGATATCAAAAGTACCTAATGTCAATAGTATGCAAGTGGATACGTTAAGGCCAGTAAACATACAATAATAGTTCTGAGTATTGCTAAAATAGTTAAAGGTCAACTAAATCTTGTGTGGCAAATACATAGGATTCAGAAGTGAGGAAAAAACTGTACAAGGCTTATTGCTTCCAGACCTTTTACAAGTCCCCATAACCGGTTATATTAGTTTGTTCTAACACTTACAGTTACTGCTCCCAAAAGAGTACATAGCACAAATTAAAAGATGCTGACCTGAACAGGTTGTCTTGCCGTCTCAGTGTGGCAGGACTAGTGTAGATCTCAGATATGCCTGTGTTATTGTCTGTGTGCATCATATTTCGGAACACATAACCCTGTGTCTAGAACACAAAGAGATCAATTATGACAACAATTTGTTGTAACAGTAATGTAACTATGTGAGAAAACAGTAAGAAAACTATGATGGTATCTTGATATAGCAACAGAAATTAAAAAAAAAAGTGCAACCATAGATATGCAACTTTTAAAAGGAAACCTTTCCTAAGAAAAACATTGCTACCTTATTCTGCAAATGATGATCCCACATCCCTTTGCATGTCCAAGAAGGTTCTTTTGAAGATTAGCACCCACAAAGCAGTTCACATGACATCTGTTACTTTTACTTGTTACTTTTTGCTAAGAAGGTTTATTCATTAATAGTCTGCGACCCCCAAAGGAGGATGCATTCTCTCTATCATAGTGAAACACATTTGCACAAACAGTAGTTCCAATTTGTATGGAAACCTGTTAACCAACCAGTATGTTTTGAGGCTGTGGGAGGAAACCAATGACTCAGATTAAACCCATATAAATGTGAAGAATATACAAATCTCAGTATGGATCATGTCATCGATAAGAATTAAACCCCAACTCTAGTGCTGTACACCGCCATGGTATACTGTATGTGATATGCTTGCTTACAGTTTGCCCCAGAAAAAGACTTTAACATAAATGACAACTATAATGTTTTTAGGGCCCAATCACGCTCACTTGTCGCAGAAGAATGTTTGTTACAGTAACCTAAGATAATACATGTAACATGCTGTACATTAATGTTGAATGGAACTTGAGTAGTTACAGTATAATGTAGTGGGTGCGCTAAAAAGAAATGTGCAACTTTTACTACATTGGAGTGCTCTCCATGTGCTGTTTTAAACATGTTAATGCACAGCATATTGCATTTACTGCCTATGTGTTAGTACACTGCAAAGAAGTGAATAGGCCCTAATGCTTCCCATTAAAGAGCTATTCCAGGCAACAAATGAAAGCAAGTGAGATGCTGATGTTATACCGCAAACACAAGAACTGTGCTAAAGTCAAAGAGTTTACTTAGTTTGGTTTGATATGAGTAATCTCCATAAACCACTGAAGCTAGGATCTAAAGAACATGTAACAGAGTCACTGGAAGTGTATTTCCTGGAGCCCATACTAAAAAACCTCTCTCTCTACCTAATGAGTGGTGCCAGTGGGATACGTCTTAGTACTGACTTTCTTTTTACATCAGTCCTGCAGATGAGACACAGCAAGGGGCCTGTAATGGGCGATCTGTAGTTTACTACTGATACAGAAGTATTAATAACAGTCCATGCCTTGAGGGAACTCATAGTCTAATTTTGTTTCCCTGTCACATATACATTGAAATACAAAGGCAAAAGCTAGTGTTGGTAGAAGCAGTTTTAACACATTGAAGAACCAACAAAAACATGGGAAGATTATAATAACATGCAGTTAGTGTTCCCTAGACCCCAGACAGACCACATTGTTAGTCCTTATTTAACTGTGGGGGTTATTTATTAAAACTGCATGGTGCAAAATCTGGTGCAGCTCTGTATAGAAACCAATCAGCTTCCAGGTTGTATTTCAAAGGTTAAAATATAACTAAAGGAAAAACTTTTTTTTAGTTTTGGACAGAATGGAGATGGATTAGAACACCTATTAGGTTATTATTGTAGTGTGTGCTCCCTTTAGGAACACCTATTAGGTTATTATTGCTGTTAGTGCCCCCGTTAGGGAGATTCACCCTCTCTATTTGTCCTGTTTACCACTATCATCGAACGTGAAAGTAAAGAAAAGCCAACATTTTGTGCTGTCCTCAGAAAAGTAATAGAGAGGAAATTTTCCAATAGGTACACTAGTTCTGGTGAAATGAGGGCCCCCAAGGAATTCCCTTAATTTGCGGGGATTATCTCTTACGTCTTGTTTTGCCTATGGGACAGGAGGTGAAGGTAAATCTCCCCAATTGGACACAGATGGCAAAACATAAACTGATAGAGGTTATACATTTGCAAGAAAAATTCTGTGAACCCCTTGGGATTACATGGAGTTTTGCATGAATTGGGCATAAAATGTGCTCTGAACGTCATCTAAGTCACAACAATAGAAGAACACAGTCTGCTGAACATAATACTACACAAACATTAGATGTTGCCATGGTTTAATTGCACATAACATGTAAACATTCACAGTGCAGGGAGGAAAAAGTATGTGAGGCCCTAGCTTAATGACTTCTCTCAGAGCTAATTGGAGCCAGGAGTGAGCCAACCTTGACTCCAATCAGTGTGATGATATTGGATGTGTTGCTGACAGCTGTCCTGCCCTTAAACACACACCTGTTTTGGGTTTACTGGTTTCAAGAAGCACTGTCTGATGTGAACCATGCCTCGCAGAAAAGAGCTCTCAGAAGACCTACGATCAAGAATTGTTGACTTGCGTGAAGCTGGAAAGGGTTACAAAAGTATCTCCAAAACCCTTGATGTTCATGTGTCCACAGTAAGACAGACTGTCTACAAATGGAGAAAGTTTAGCACTGTTGCTACTCTCCCTAGGCGTGGTCGTCCTGTAAAAATGACTGCAAGAGCACAACGCAGAATGCTGCATGAGGTAAAGAAGAATCCCAGAGTGTCAGCTAAAGACCTACAGAAATCTCTGGCACTTGCTAACATTTTTGTTGACACATCTGCAATAAGGAAAACATTAAACAAGAATGGAGTACATGGGAGGACACCACGGAGGAAGCCATTGCTGTCCAAAAAGAATATTGCAGCATGTTTGAAGTTTGCAAAAGAGCACCTGCATGTTCCACAGCACTACTGGCAAAATATACTGTGGACAGATGAAACCAAGATTGAGTTGTTTGGGAAGAACACACAACACTATGTGTGGAGAAAAAAAGGCACAGCACACCAACATCAAAACCTCATCCCCACTGTAAAACATGGCGGAGGGAGCATCATGGTTTAGGGCTGCTTTGCTGCCTCAGGGCCTGGACAGATTGTTGTCATTGATGGGAAAATGAATTCCAGAGTTTATCGAGACATTTTGCAGGAAAACGTACGACCATCTGTCTGCCAACTGAAGCTCTGCAGAGGATGGGTGATGCAACAGGACAAGTAATACAAGTAATTCAACAAAACAGTGGCTGCAACAGCACAGAATACGCCTTCTGGAGTGGCCCAGTCAGAGTCCTGACCTCAACCCGATTGAAATGCCGTGGCATGACCTTAAGAGAGCGATTCACGCGAGACATCCCAAGAATATTGCTACACTGAAACAGTTTTGTGAAGAGGAGTGGTCCAAAATTACTCCAGATCGTTGTGCAGGTCTGATCTGCAACTACAGGAAATGTTTGGTTGAGGTTATTGCTGCCAAAGGAGGGTCAAACAGTTATTAAGTCCAAAGGTTCACAAACTTTTTCCTCCCTGCACTGTGAATGTTTATGTGCAATTAAACCATGGCAACATCTAATGTTTGTGTAGTATTATGTTCAGCAGACTGTGTTCTTCTATTGTTGTGACTTAGATGACGTTCAGAGCACATTTTATGCCCAATTCATGCAAAACTCCACGTAATCCCAAGAGGTTCACATACTTTTTCTTGCAACTGTATCAACAAAAGTGCAGCGCTGCACTTTTGTTGATATTACTCTGTTTAAGTATTTATTGGTTGCTTAGAGTGCTTAGCTGCTTTTTTGGATTAGCGCTCACTCTTATTATATACATAGTGATAGAGGTTATAACCCTCCCTTACTCGATCCAAAATGAAAAAAAATGTTTTACTTATTGTTCTACTTTAACCTCTTCCCAACCACCCTATAGCAGAACTACTGCTACAGGGCGGCAGGGCTGCGCAAAATCATGTATATATACGTGATTTGTATTTCCGGGTAGGGGGCGCAGACGCACTGTTTATAGTGTAAAAAATAAAAAAACGCACAGGTGATCAAATACCACCGAAAGAAAGCACCATTTATGGGAAAAAAATGACATAAATTTAATTTGGGTGCAGTGTTGCATGACTGTGCAATTGTCAGTTAAAGTAACGCAGCGCCGTATCACAAAAAAATGGTCTGGTCAGGAAGGGGGGTAAATCATCTGCAGGGCAAGTGGTTAATTTCTGCTAGATCACTTCATTTTGGCCCTTTGTACAGGTATAGCTGTGCAAAACATTAAAAATACTGTAAGTGTCTATGTTGTTTAAACAAGCTGAAGTTAGAAGCTGACTGGCTACCATACACAGCTGCCCCAGATTCTGTGAGCTCCAGTTTTAGTAAATCTACCTCTGTGTGTTATTACAATCAAGAATAAGTTTAACACATATAGATGGCTTTTGGATGGAATAATGGTACCTTGTCTGCACAGGGCTCCATTAGGTAAGTGTTGATAACTCGGATGTTGGGAGCTCTGCTATAAATCCAGGCAAATGCACTGCTCACAAGTTGTAGAATATTCCTCTTCCTCTGTATATGGTGGTATGCTGAACTGAATGCATTTGTCACACCCTGGAGAAACACACTATTATAGAAAGTGGAAAGCAGATACAGAGCAGAGAAACCACAGTCATTTTTAATTCCTGCAAATCTGAAAAAAAATATCTTGCAGAGCTTGACAAATGTAGAACAAGGTTAAAAGAAACCTGTACTGAAAAAAAATACAATGTTAAACAATTTGCTGTTAAGATGCCCCTTCTCTAAGCTTTTTCAGTAACTTACCCAAACAAATATTAAATCAAACATGTGACATAAATGTACAGATTTGAGTAGCTGAAATGTGACCTGTAGTAATATGTAATCGTAAATGTAGTTTCATTCCTTGTCATTAAAGAAATATTCAGTCATAGGTATTCAAGAGACAGATGGTCATCCATTAGCATCTGAAAAGAGACAGAGCTTCCTCAGGCTGGAAGTGACACCTGGGTGCTAATAAGATTTTGTCACCTATATGTAATCAGACTTTGCCACCTTCCTGAAGTTTAAAAGAGTTTTGGCTTCATGACCCCAGGGGGGCCCTGATCTGTCTGGGGAGCTCTAAAGTATATACATAGATCAAAGGAGTATGTTTCATCCCTCATAAAAGCTAAAATATTAGTTGAAGAGAGATGAACATACTTCCTTCTGATTGGGCACTCTGTAGGCTACATTGGCATGTAAAAACTGTATTTGTGGCCTATGTAGAATGCCAGAAAAATGCAGGAAATGGTTATGTGGCGCTGGATCGCAATAACTGAACAGTGATTGGTACTGTTGCGATCGGACTGATGCGCTGGTGTCGGAAATTCAACCACTGACTTGGTGATTCAAACCATTCCTGGTTTGATCGACTTTGGGCATTCCAGTACCCAGAGTGTCCTGTGGGCTGGTACAGGAACACCCCCCATAGTCAATTGGCCAAGAACTAATGTCCCGCCTACGTCCATATTCCCATAAATTGAGGACCCTGGCAGGGGTGGACTGACAACTCATGGGGCCCCCGGGCAATAGGGGGTCATGGGGCCCCTGTGTCCTTGCCCAAACTCAAAAAAGCCTATGAAAAAGGTACCAGGGGCATCTCATGGGGCCCCCTACTGACCCCGGGCCCTTGGGCAGTGCACGAGTTTCCAAATGGTCAGTCCGCCCCTGGACCCTGGATATGGGATGGGGTGATTCGTATGGATCTGGTTCGATCGACTAACTTGGTAAAAGTTTTATTTGTTTTTTATTCCCTTTTATTTTATAGTGAATAGTCAATGTGTGTCTTCTTGTATTTTTTGTATTTTCTGTAACTTTTTATACTTTGTACATATTTTATGCACTGCCCACTTTCAGGATATTAAATCTTAAAATTAATAAGTGACTTCTGGGTATTTAAGCACGGGCTCAAATCTCCGGAGAGATTAGATTGTATTGTATGTTAGTGTCTTTATATGCTCGGTCAAGCTCATTGCCAATCTATATGCAATTGCACTGCGTGTTGGCAGATTGTGTGCAGATTGTAAAGGTAACAGATCTGCCAGACGGAGATCTGTATGTGTGTGGTGTCCCAACAGACCGTTCTGCGGATAAACTGTTGGGTGGTGGCAAGCTACCGTTTGTGGTGTGTCTGGTGTGGGGGGGTGTGGACAGTGGAATAGTGATTGACACCGGGGTTCTAGCTGTAGGATAGCTGGGGGAACCCTAGAAGGGTGTGCGATTGCTAAGCTGCTCCTCAACCCTCAGAGTGCACCAGATTGTATATAAGATTTGTATCTGCCCATGTGCGGTCAGCCAGCTGGATTGGAGTGGAGTCTCCCTCCGGTGGTGGCCAAGAGGTAGTGCGGGCTGTGAAAGTATATCACGGCCAGTCTTATATACGGTTTTATATATTCAAAGTTAAGTCCCCCTTATTCCCTCTTACCCCAAGTCATGGCCGCACGTACGCGCCTCGGTTAGCTAGTCGCTGTGGGCGTGGCGTGTGGGTGAACTCGTGACAAAACATTTACTCTTTTACTAGTTGAGATGTTTTTTTCCCCCCATGAGTTTACTAATTTAAATACATTTTATATTATTATTTTATAAATATCTTTCTTTTTGTTTTCTTCCACTGTTTTTTTCATTTCTCACCTAGTAGAGAATGATGTAGCTGCACTGCCCACAGACTTCTGGGATATAAACCTCTTATATTCCAATGTATTTAATGTTTGCCCACATGTAAATGTATGTCTTTTACAGTTAAAGTGGTTCTAAAGGCAATACATTTTTTTACCTTTATGCATTCCTGTGTGGACGCACACAGCCCAGCTATGGAGCAACCCCACTGGTGCGCCCCATAGGAAGCAGATTCCTACGGAGGTACACAGAGAAGACAGGGAGTTGAGAGTGCCTGCGGGGTCACCCCAGAGAGGAGGACCAGGACCTCTCTGTGCAATACCATTGCACAGAGCAGGTAAGTATTTGTTTTAATTACATTTTTTTAAATGTTATCTATTACATCGACTTTTTACATTTTCAGAATTGGGGTTAAGTTCCTCTAAAATAAATATTTCACTGATCTAGAACAAACATATACTTAGTCAAGTTAAATGAAATTCAGAACTCTTTGTGATCCAATTCAGTGTTTCTCAACCTTCTTCCAATCAGGGCGCCCTTGAAAATTGTTTTCATTCTCGAGGCACCCTAGGTAAGGGTTGGTTCACACTACTGCACGTCGGGGAATGCTCGCAAAATCATATGCATTCTCAACGTGCACACAAATCCACTGCTCTTTAGAAGACACACAAGGGTACGATTAATTCCTAATGTTACCCCTGTGCATTAGCTAATGCAGTGCATTTTCGGTATGGCGCAATTTTAATAAAATGGTTTGGGGACTAGGGCCAGTTCACACCAGAACGCGGTAGGGGAAAGGAGCACTCCGCGTGCATTTCCCGCACTGCAGGTGATTGCTTTACCCTTGCAGTTTGTATGTAGGTGCCAATGCGTTGTTAGCGGCATCCCAAAACACAGATCGCAAATGCAGTGTGTTTGAAGGCACCAGATTGTATACAAATGAATGGGCTGCAAAATCACACTGCATGTTCCCCTCTCTGCTAACCTTTGCACCCCAACCCCACTCTGCCCACCTTTGGACCTCAATCCCCCTGCTAATCTCTGCACCCCAGAACCCTTCTGCTCACCACTGCACTGCAACCCCCCTCTCTTCTCATCTTGGTACCCCAAACCCCCATCTCTGCTCACCTTCATATCCCAAAACTCCATCTCTGCTCACCTCTGTACCCCAACCCCCCCCCCCCCCCCCCCCTCTGCTCACCTCCACACCCCAAAACCCCCTCTCTGCTCATCTCCACACCCCCAATTCCTCTCTGCTCACCTCCACACCCCCAACCCCTCTCTTCTCACCTCCACACCCCCGACCCCTCTCTGCTCACCTCCACATCCCAAACCCCTCTTTGCTCACCTCCACACCCCCAACCCCTCTTTGCTCACGTCCACTACCCCCTCTCTGCCCACCTCCACCCCCCTCTCTGCCCACCTCCACATTGTGGTGACAATAATTATAATTAAACTGACGTCCAGTAGTACTTTCTTTTTGGAGCTCTATAATATGAAACCTAATTTACCTGTAATCTATTTTTTTTTTTCGCATGATTTTTTTTGTTGAAAGAAGAAAGGATATGTTTGATTTGGTATAGAAAGGTGTAGTAGATACCGTATGCACAGAAATGTAATTGGTTTAAAATAGGTCATTTGTACACACCTGGTAAAAGCTTATTTCATGTGTAAGGAAGATATTTCTATCCCGAGGTTCTCTTAGAGTGTCAATGCCAAGAGTCCCAAAAACCCGCTGCTGTGCATCTATTAGCGGCAGTACAATGAGGGATCCTTTCCGCTCTTCTTCTGGGCGATCTTTGTTCCAGAACTGTATGTTACCATGATACTGAACTCGAGGCACATGCTGCGGTATCCCGCTGTCCACTGCTGCAAAACTGAGACATAAACCATGATAACAGTAGATGTTGATACTTTTTAATATATCTAGTTCATTTTTCCAGTATTGGTATTATATGCAATATTCCATTGCAATTTAAAAAACATTAGGGTGTCCCTTTGTTATTTTAAAGCAACCACATAATATTTGGAGGCAAAAGTTGGACCAATGCAGGCAATGTGTGTGTACTATAATGCATTATCATCTATATCATAACTGTCACATCCCACAGTGCTTGTACCATCCTCCAGCGCTGGATTTTTAAAGCCTGTGGGCAAAAGCTTGTAGCTAATCAGTGGTGGTCAAAATAACAGGCATTTCACTGTCAGGCACTGCCTTAAAGGGCTGACACATGCATATCTGAATGTTCGAGCAATGCTCCTATTCACTAGCAGCCAAACCCCTAGTGCATCCAAGCATCCCCAATGATTCTCTGTGTTCCTCTGTGCCCGTTCCTTCCAGTATTCATTCTGCTTCTGTGATCACCAGTGTTCTTCTCTCAGCAACCTCAGCCACTTCATGTATATTCCTGTTTGCAAGCCAAATCCCAGCATCTGTGCAATCCTCTAAGCACTCCAGCATACCTATGACTTCTTTGAGTACCTCAGCGTCCAGTCTTCTAGCAACCCTGTGATTCCCTGTGTGTTCCAGACAGCCATTTGTTACCAGCACATATGCACTCCAAGTCTGCAGCCTGCGAACTCAGAGCCAACGTCCTGCTCTGTGTGACTTTGTGCGCCTGGACTGCAATTCCCACTGATCCTTGTTCCCAGAACCTCTCTGCTACAAGAAACTCTTTCTGCATATCTAATTCTGTTCTATGTAGCTACCTGCTATGGCCAGTCAGGGGGCCACAACCTAGGAGCCACCATCAGCAAAACCCATTATCTCTCGCGTGTTGCTCTGGAGAAGACAAGGGGGCTTCTTAGATTCTGCACCTCTGACCTTTTAAGGACTCTCACCTTTGCCGAATGAGAGAGCATACTTCTTCCACCTTTTCCAACTAGTATCCTGTCTCTCCACTTCTGTTGCCTCTCTAGGACTCCTCTCTGCATCTCCTCTGTGACTTACATCACTGCCTTCCCCAGCTGCTATAACCAAATCCTGCTTAGCCAGTCTTCCCCCAGTAGGCAGTAGTAGCCTAGTCCGTGACAGCAGCATTCCAAAACAAAAGTGACATGCTTTGAAGAAAGTATATTTTAGAGCAAATCTAACCCCAAAGGCACCTGGTGATCTGACCAGTAACTCTATTATTTACAATGAATAAAATACATTTAAAATTAAAAATTGCAAGTAAGCAGTTCTCTAACTGGACCAAATTTACCTGCTTGTTCACAACCTTCTACTGAATGTACACTGAGCTGCATATACGCATCTCAGCAGACATTCCTGGAGGTGCTGAAATTAATGCACAACCTGTAACCAAAAGAATCCGAGGTAGAAGTTGTCAGCAGCTGGCAAAGCATCTAACAGTCACATCACTAAAAGGTGTCGGTGAGAATCTGCATACTTTCGTTTCTGTCCAGCAAAATGCCAGTTAGAGGGTGCTTACAATGGTTATCTTTTGTATATTTGTATAAAACCTTTATTCCAAAAGGAAAAAGAATAAAAGGTTGCCGTAACTGCTTAGAAATGTGTTAAATGAAATTTTGGTTTTAGGTTGGTAGTCAATTCAAGCAAAATTTGCTAGTGCATCAAACACTACATCTCCACAGGTTGGCAATGCTGCTGGCCAAGGGTGGCTCTGTTGTGTGGAGCCACCCTAAGGCAAGAAGTTTTTTACTGGCCAGTTCACCAGGTGAAAATAAAAGGATTACAAGCCTGGCAAGCTATAGGGTGTGTTTTTAGGTCCAGGACTGGGGGCAGACAGGAAAGGAGAGGCATCTGCCTGGGGCACAATGTCTTCATGTGTTGGGGGGGGGGGGGTGGGGGTGGGGGTGTTGTAAGGCAGCAGCCTGTAGGGTACATTCACCGGAGCTGACAGCCTGTGTTCACCCCTTTAATCCTTACTGACTTGCCTTGCTGCATGGAAGTTGCCCTACTTGAGAGGAGCAGCCCACACAGAGAAGCAGTGATGTCTCAGTGGTGAGGTCCATTGTTTGCACCAGTGGTGTACATAGAGGGAGTGTGTGGGTGTGAGGTGTGCACCAGGTACCGACACTCTGGGGGTGCTGACTGGCTGCCCAACATTTCCAAATTTTGTTTTGTACCTTACAATTGTTCGACAGGCAGAAGCGGTGCTATAGTGCTACTATCATAGATCCCAGCTGCACAAAACAACCAGAAGCACCAACATCAAGAAGGGGGGCAGGGGTGCAGTTTGGCAACTTCACACTGGGCACTGGATAACCTTGTCTCGGTACTGCATGTGTTACATAGAAGGTGGCCAGATGAATTTTCGACACACATATCACTGACAATGCAAAGCAACCCATAATCCTAAAGCTTTAATCAGGACAGTTACAGTAAATTGCTAAAAGCCAAAATATGATTGGTTTATAATAAGTCTCACGGTGAAAATTGTCAAAGTAAGTCACACACATGTGGTTATTGTTTTACCTGACACCATTCATGTCTCTGTGTAGTGTCTTATTTAATACATATAGAGCATCCTCTGAGGTACAAGCAACATAACGTAGAACCTCATTCCATCTTTCTCCAGGTGAGCTTTGCTCCAATAGGCCAATATTTGCACTGATCTTTTTGTTATTTCCATGGGCCTCTGCATCCTTTTGGTAAAACAGAAGCATAATTTATTGAGAAATCAAGTTCATATAAAGTTCTTAAGCTTAATGCATTCTGATTTGTTCAACACTAACCTTGTAAAGGGCCTGAAATACAGCTCTATATACAGCCTCCAGTCTCCCACCACTGGTTTCAGAAACTGTCTGAATGTGTTGCAGCCACTTTCTCCGGCTGGCTCCTCGCAGTTTCTCTGTTTGTGTACGCTCAACACTGGTGGTTAGAAATTCAACCATATTCTCAAACACCTCTTCTTCTGGTCCTGGTAGCTTATGGACAACATCCAAGATATACCTAGTGAACTCACTCGCTGACAACTTCCTTGGCCCTCTCTGAGATGTTGAGGAAGTCAGGTTCTCTCTTCCTACAAAGGAGAAGCATACAGTATATGTTTATTTATTAAGAGACAGTGCATGGAAACAGGTATCTTTGCTCATGTTCTTTCTAGCCTACCCACAGATTTTGTTTAAGAACAATATACAGTTTGCATATTTCTGCCCAAATATCCAAAGGTTTAAACCAACAGAAGGAGCACCAAATTCATAAAAGAGTCCAAAAACAGATCGAATGAGTCACAAAACAGCCAAGTCATTCTGGATTCAAAGCACACTTTCCCTTCATTGGGGCTCAGTTTCCAAGTGTTTAATGAACTCAGGGAAGAAGAAGTCAGATACATTGATTACAAAGGAATCAGATGGGGCAGAATTATGTCAGTAAAACATTTTAGCCATTTCACTGGCATATCCTCCACCCTATCTGATTCCTTTGCAAGCAGTTTATCTGACATCTGCTTCCCTGAATCTATTAAACACGCTTTGAATTACTGTCTTTTTCCCTTTACTGCTCCGTAATAATAATAATAATAATGAACTCTCAGTACCTCTTGAATGTCTGTCTTTGAACCTTCAGTTCTCCAAGGCTGACTTTCAATCCTTTTTATAAAGTTATTTTGGTTGCCACAATCCTATGAGTCTACCGGTGATTGAACAAATGTTGCCGTACAGAAAGTGTCTTTGTTATTTTTAGTTCATAGCTTATATGTCATATAATACAGTGTCCACAAAAGTGTAGGCAGGAGATGCTGAGTCCAAAATAGGTTTATTTTTTTAATAGGCTTTGATTAGGCAGCTCTCCAAAATTAAAAGAAATCAAAGGTCCTTGAGTTAGCACTGAGGGTGTAAGAAAACAACAGCACCACACCAAAGGTTTAGGCATCCAAGAGCATTTATTTCATAATAGAAGTCCAAAAACATAATTCAATGATGTTTCACAGGCTATCGGTTCATGCTTCATCAGGGCTCACATTGCTAGTTTGAATAGTGTTGAACTTGTATGTATTAACCGAGGATTAATTCAAATCAGGAATCGATTATTCCAAAAACAAGCTTCAGGCAGGAGTTAGTGGGATTTGCTCTTGATGATGTCAAAGTCCTGACAGGCACTCTGCTTATCCAGTTTAGGAATTATATGCTTAATTTGTATACTTTTTTTTTACAAAATTTCCCCAATTATAGTGTGCTAATTTATGCCTGCTAGACAGATTCAGATTTGTAAAAACTTTAGATTTTTAAATATAGTTTTATTAGTGCAGGGTTTGGATTTGCTGTCCTGATCCTTGCTGTGCTACCATAAAGTTGTTGACCTGTAACAAGCATGTAGGATGGGCATTAAGGCATCTCAGTGTTCTCAGCAGACAGAGCACTGCCAAAAGTAATCTTTGTTCTGGCCCAATTCCAAGCACTGTGAGCCTGTTTTCTGCATGTTAGACTGCTATCACATGATTACAACATGCCCATGAAGAGGACTAATGGAACACTTTTAGTAAGCATGTTATGTTTCTTTACAAAATACATTTTACAGGTTTATTTGAAAACTCAAAACTACCAAGACTTGAGTTACATAAAAGCTCTCCTATATTGAACAACAGCAGTTCACATACTTATGTCCTCACAGTTTTGGTATAGGCCACAAATCTAGGCAATTCAACATCAGTTTGTGATGAATACATAAGAACAAGATACTTTAAAACAAGGGTGTCCAACCTACAGCCCACAGGCTACATGTGGCCCAATACAGCTATGAATGCATGGTGGAATACAGTGTTCATGTATTTTTGTACAACTACATCACTATCAGTATTCAGTAGAGATATATTCTTTACCCGGTAGAAGGCAGTGTTTATAAGTTTGTAGCTAGACCTATAGGTAAACTCTGTGTCTTTTCTCTATAATAAAAGTTCCTGTTTGCACAGAAGCAGCAGATAAACACATGTGGACTGTGTCTGTTCTGTAGGGGTATATACAGAATCTCTAACAGGTTATGGTCACAGACACCCAGTCCTAGCTGACTACAGCAAACGATTGCAAGACACAGCAACAGAAAGAAGACTGCAACAGCATGAAAGTGAGTAAGCTTTCATTTGCCAATCTGACAAACCAGAACTACAAATCTTGGAAATTTAAAAAGGTTGGAGACTTCGATGTGCATATTAATCAAAGTGTGACCAATCTCAGAGGGGAGGCTCTGGTGGTTTGGTAGTAGAACCATGCTAGCAGGGGAGTCGGGTGGAAGATGGAGTGCCGAGAGGTGCTGCTGTGTCCTCTGGGAAGGAGCCCCAGAGGAGGAGGTTTCTGCTTCCAGGCTGGAAGCTGATGAGAAGCTGAAAGATGGAGCTCCACTGCCCTGCAGTCCACTAAGGAAGGACAGCCTGCAAAGCTTGGAGAGGAACCAACCCAGCTAGAAGGAAGAAAGGAATAAGAAGAGAGGGAGTAGGAGGAAAGAGAGACAAAGGGAAGAAGAAAGTAGCAAAGTCAGGTAGAAGCAAGAAAAATTGTCTGGAAGTTAAAACATCCCCCAGTGGCCTGGGATATCCAGGCTAGTTGAGGGCAGGGTGGGGAGAGCTTCTTCCAAGCCCTGGCAATGGTGCATTTTGCAGCTATGAAAAGGTATGCATCCAATTTCTGCTGGTAGGAGAAGAGGCCAGGCAGTGGGCAGTGGAGAAATGCGTGCCAGGGGTCCTTGCAAAAAGATGTGTGAAATAGGGTCGAAAGGAGGCTGCAAACTTGTGACCAGAAGCCCACCAGGCAGGGGTTTGACCACCATATATGGATCTCATTTCCACATTAGCCACAGCCCCTGAAACATCTATTACTACATGACAGGTTTGAGTGAGCAATGCCGGCGGGACCCAGTACCAACGGAGGAGGACTTTATAGGCCACTTCCATGGTGAACGTGTTAAAAGAGCATTTGGCTATAGCAGACCAGGCCCTACTCCAATCCTCTAGATCTATGGAGGTTGTGAGATCATATTCCCATTTAGAGATGTACGGGTGAGAGCGAGATGAGTTCCCTGCAAATAGGGAGGCACACATGGAAGAAAAACTGCCTTGGGCACCCGGAGAATGTAGGCAGATGTGTTCAAAGTAGTGCCACAGACATTCCAAAACAAATAATGAGTTGAGAAGACAATAGATAATACACCATAACATAATTCGTAAATGGAAGGAATATGGGAGTGAAGAGAAAGGTGAAATAATAAAGGTCCAAAATGAGGACCAAAAGGTGCAACAGACAATAAACCGTGACCTTGGGCAAAATGCTTGGAAATGATCAGGGAAAAAAAAACACTTGCGTTGTTATTGTCATTCTTCTGTGATAAGTGGTTTGTCCACTTTATATTAAGCACTTCATTTTTTATTTTTCACATTTTGCTCCATTTTCTCATCAGTTGTATTCACGTTATTTCATTTATGTTATGACGTAATCATATGTCCAACTATTACTGTGATTTAGGTAATATTTTATTTTTCCCTGATCATTTCCGTGCATTTGCCCACGGTCACGGTTTATTGTCTGTTACACCTTTTGGTCCTCATTTTGGACCTTTATATTTTCACTTTTCCCTTCACTCCCATATTCCTTCCATTTACTGATTATGTTATGGTGTATTATCTATTGTCTTCTTATCTCATTATTTGTTTTGGAATGTCTGTGACATTATTGTAATTAGCTTAACATCAATTTTATGTTTGTTGTTTTTTGCTAGTGGGATAGCCAGGTGTGTGCTGCTGTCCCAATAGTCCCATCTTTTCTAGTAGCAGCGCAAAGTTTTTTACAGATGTGTTCAAAGGCCGTCTTCTGCAAAGGGAAAGAAGAATTGCGGTGGAAATCCAGTGGCAGAGCTGAGGATAGCGATAAGACTCTGCTGGAGGTGCATCGTGGGTCTCAGAGATGGAAGCCCAAGAAGGACAAGGGTGGAACCCTAAGACGTGGTGAACCTGGGAGAATCCATGGGCAGGCCACCAGGCAAAAGCCTGGGGTTGGCAGAAAGAGAGGGTTTTTTAGGAGAGGGAGGAGTGGAAGGGAGACATCAGATTGGCCAAGTAGCGGACCGAGTCCCAAAGGTGCAAGCTGTGGGCCATAAGAGGGCTAAGGCGGGAAAGATGTGAGGTGGGGGGGAGCCAAAGGAGGGCCGAGACTGGGACAGGGGCACAATTAGGAATTTTCAGAAGCACCCACAGGGGAATGTCTGAAGCCGCATGTAGCAGCACAAGTTGTGAGATTTGGGCCACTAAATAGTATTTGGCCACATTTGGGACCCCAAGACCCCCTCTCAACCTCTGGGCGAAAAGGGTGGTGCGAGCCACCCTGGGGCATTTGTGGGCCCAGATAAAGGCCAGGAACTTGTTCTGTGGGGAGCGCAGAAAAAAGGCCAGGAGTCTAACTGGGATCCAGAAGAAGTAATGGAGTTTAGGGAGTACAGTCATCTTAATTGTGCTGGTACGCCCTATCCATGACTATGAAGGAAAGTGCCAGGAGGTCATAAAGGAGGAGATGGAGCAAAGGAGGGGATAATAGTTAGCCAAAAAGAGGGAAGAATAGGAAGGGGTCAGGCAGATGCCTAAGTAGTCTACAGATGAGGCTACCCAGCAATAGGAGAAGGAGGACTGAAGATGAGAGACCATAGAGTCTGCAAGAGAGATATTGACAGCTATTGTTTTATGTGGGTTAATTTGGAGGCCAGAAATGGCAGCAAAGCAGGTCAGGTGGACATGCAGATTAGGGAGCGTGATGATCGGGTTGGAAAGAGTTAGGAGGGGTCACCTGCAAACAAATTTACTTTGTAGTATACCCCAGCAAAGGGAATCCCTGTGATATTGGGGTCGGTGCGGACGACTGCCACCTGGGGTTTTATGGCCAGGATGAGGAGGGCCGGGGGAGAAGGCACCCTTGACAGGTTGTTTCTTTAATCAAATTGGGAATCCCATACCCTTTTACCCTACAACAGGAAGAAGGGTCAGCCGCACACTGGAGGATTGATGAATATATTGTATATTTATTGACCCATAGGACACACACAAAACACCAGGACATGAATACAGGACCTGTTAACGCATTTCACACGATCTCTTGCTTAATCATAACCATTATGATTAAGCACGAGATCGCGTGAAACATGTAAACAGGTCCTGTATTCATATACTGGTGCTTTGTGTGTCCTATAGATCAATAAATATACACTATATTCATCAATCATCCGGTGTGCGGCTGACTCTTCTTCCTGGTGCATTGTATGTGGTGGCGAGCAGGGGTGGACTGACAACTCATGGGGCCCCTGGGCAATAGGGGATCATGGGGCCCCTGTGTCCTTGCCCAGACTCCAAAAAGCCTATGAAAAAGGTACCAGGGGCATCTCATGGGGCCCTCTACTGACTCCGGGCCCTCAGGCAGTGCCCGAGTTTTCAAATGGTAAGTCCGCCCCTGGTGGCGAGCCAGAGCATGCATCTGTCGTGAATTGATCTGGATTGTTTGCCTGAGCGGTATACCTCTGTTCTTTGGATTCAGCCCTTTTACCCTATCCAAGTTTAACCCCTTAATAAAACAAAAAAAAACAAGTCCATGGTCTGTTTACTGACTTTGGATGCAAGTGTGGAAAATGCATGCTGCCTGGCTGTGCAGAGCTTAAGAGAAACTCAAAAATCCAGCGGCCCTTATGAGGGTAGTGCTACAATAGCATAGAAGATGATCAATTATACATATATGTAAGTGTGAAACTGCTAAAGAAATGTTCATGAAAGAGCTAATCTCAGCAATAAACTGTATTTGATCAGAAAGCTGTATCAAACCAAGCGGATGAAAGGACAAGATATGTAGGCTTTCATAAGGCACACCCTGTAAGTGACAAATGCAATCATAAAGTGCTTATGTGAATAGAAGTGTTTATACAATATTCCAGTGAAATAAATTGAATAAAACATCTCAGATCACATAGAATCATAAAATTATAAAAAAACCCTCTAAAATTCTGAATAGTGGATAGTCCGTGGTACTGCAGGTCACAGAAGTGCCAAGTGATATTATTGCTTATTTAGCAATATTTAGCAATAACGGTGATTATACATAGTCCGTAGCATGTTAATAACATTTTGAAAAGTCCTTACCATTTTAGGAGAAAAGTCTAATTCATTTTTCATGACTTCATTTCTGAAATTCAACACATAATAGCATCTGCTCTGCCAAGGAGGAGGTGTAACAGCAGGGATTAAATCATATCCTCTCCTCACTCTCTGCAGTAAAAGGAAACTACAATTCCTATTAACCACAGGGAATTGTAGTAAATGTGGGTGGGTATACTAGGCCTGAACATGTTGAATGTGTCTGAGTGTTGGTCCGCCCACCACTGCAAGTGGGGCTGAATTATATTACTGCTTCCTGGAGAAAGAACTACAGAAGGGATATGCCAACTTTACCAGTGGCTGGGGGAATAGGAGGCATAGCAGTCACTGGTCATACAAACAGGAAACCAAAGAAAATTAACAGATTGATTTGAAAATGAATAGCCTATTTCAGAGCATCTACTGGGTGAACCGGAAGATGGATGACATATTCAGTGAAGGTAGGAGATCAGCAACAAGGACATGTAAAGAGGTTTTTGCCCAGAATTCTGCTTTAATAATGAATCAGAACCTCTCATTCAGAATGAGTATGCAATTTCATCTGATGAAACAAAGAGCTATTTCTTCACAGCAACAACCATAAGGGATCTCCACCAACATTTGTAAAAATCCATGCAAAATACATTAATCACCCAGAGGGGTTTGTTTTTGTCTAAAAAAAAGTGGAATTACTCTTTACATGAAAAATATATGTCAAAACACTCAGTAGATCCAGAAGTATAGGTAACTTAAATTATATGTAAAATAGACTTTCCCTGCAAAAGCTGATCTTGGCCCTTCCCTATCCTACCTATTGAGTCTCTCAGTTAGTCCTGTAATGTGGCATTCTCTCATTGACCAATAAGGGTTGCCTAAGAGCTAGAAGAGCAAAGAGCTAAGCTCTGTTTTTATAGAAAAGAAAGTCAAGAACTGCATGTAACTTGACTGCCTATTTCCTTGGATCACTAGTCATATGGGGGTTGATTTACTAAAACTGGAGAGTGCAAAATCTGGTGCAGATGTGGATGGTAGCCAATCAGCTTTTAACTTCAGTTTGTTCAAATAAACTTTGACAAAAAACCTGGAAGCTGATTGGTTTCGATGCAGAGCAGAGCAACACCAGATATTGCATTCTCCAGTTTAGGTAAATCAACCCCATGACGTCCCCTAAAATTAACCTTTGTTTTTTTTCATCATATGTTTAATTTAAATTGACCAGCCATGTGATAAACTTACTTTAATTTATCTTCAACCTTCGTTTGATACAAAAAATTGTGAGTTACCTTACCTTTAGCCATCGCTTCTGATTCCATCCCCTCCTTGTATTTGATCAGAACGCCATCTACCTCCTTCAGCTCCAGAAATCCAGACCCATCATTGTCCCATTTCTCAAAGAGAGCCTGCAGGACAAGTTTCTGCCGTGCTATGAGGGCATCTTGATGAACCTGACAAAAATGGAAACAGAAGAAATAAAAGTACAATTGTATTGCTAGAAATAAAAGTTACAAAGAGTTTGTCTGATATTCCTAACAATCCTGTGGATTTTTGCATTCCCTGGGAACTACAATAGGACAGTGAGGCGTTGATTTAATTAAACTGGAGAGTGCAAAATCTGCAGTAGCCAATCAGCTTCTAACTTCAGCTTGTTCAATTAAGCTTTGACAAAAAAAAAAATGGAAGCTGACTGATTTCTGTGCAGATCTGTACCAGATTTTGTACTCTCCAGTTTTAGTAAATCAACCCATTTGTCTGCTGATATAGAAGAAGAAAAACAGTATAAGCAACACTGATTAATATATTAAATCTGTATGTGTTTGCTCAATGCCAAGTTCACCTAACAAGGTGTGTTTGCTATATTCTGAATATTTAAAGCTGAACACCAGCTCTGTATGCACTACTACATCTTTACATGTTTTTGAAATATTTTTTTTTTTTTTATGCAGGCAGCGTACGTACCTGAATTTGACTTTATATCAGCCTCTTGCAATCCCTGTACACCAGAGCTCAGACTGGAGGAGGGGGAGGAGGCACAAATAGCTGATATGTTATGCTGCAGTACATGAAGCATGCTGATTGAGGAGAAAGCAGACTGATGTAGAGATGAGCAAATCTAATAAAGTACAGATGAAATAACAAGTCTCCTACCTTGGCAGATAGGGTTGTGCTGTGTGGCGGAGCTGATTAAAGTGGTTGCAAAACCTTACATTTACCCAGTGAAGTGACTGGCCTCAGTTGATACGCAGAGATGAAACAAATCATCCTACATAAATTGTACCTGTTCACCTGCAGTCTTCTCGTCTCTACATCTGTGCAAAGTTCAGAATTTATACAGCCTGTCTGAGCTTCCAGAAAACAGGGGATGAGGAGTTGAAGTTACATTCTGCAGAGCTCAGTGAGATCTGATTGGAGGGAAGGGACACCCCCCCTTCACACAGCTTACAGGAACAGATCTGAGACTATCAATCATAGGATGTGTGCTGGAGATCCCTCCTCTGTCATCCTTTTTCACTTGGTGTCAACATGTCAGAAGTGACTCATGCAGATAGACACCTAGAGCTTGGGGTTGACATAAGCACACACTATAGAGGGATATGCTTTTTTCAGATTTCATGATGTATGAGGTTTACAACCACTTTAAATCCTACAACTGGATATAAAGAAATACAAATTGTTTAAAAGCTAAAACAGCTCCTCTATATGTATTTCATCTGTGTATTAAGTGGTTTGCCTGGAGTTCAGCTTTATGTAAACAGCATAGATCATGTTAACTTCAGCACTGCACAGTCATCAAAATCTATGCAGGCAGCCAACTGAAATGTTGATGGGATTACTATTTAAAATTATTGGAAACCATGACACATCCTTGCATGGAAGAGCTGGGGGGCAGGTGCACTGGCTGGCTAATGGATATTGAAGAAAAAACCTGAAGGATGTGGAGATCACCCTTTAGTTAGGGTAAGTAGTTTGTATATATAGAGGAGATCCTTTAAGCTGATGGTATCTGCACTACTATGGCAAACTGCAAATAGCAGATATGGTAGGGAAACTTACAATGTGCAGCAGTGTATAGGCCCTTACAAAGTATTAATGGTCTGTCAATAGTCTGTAAACTGCAATTTTCTTAACATTTTCTCTATATGACTACCAGTTGTTTAAAAGCATTCATACTTTGTTTAATATATATATATTCCCTGCTAGATTATAAGCTCCAAGGAGCAGGACCCTCCTATCCCTCTTGTATTGAACTATATTGTTGCTGTATTGTCTCCCGTTATATTGTAAAGCGCTGAGCAAACTGTTGGCGCTATATAAATCCTGTATAATAATAATAATAATATATATATTTTTATATATATATATATATATATATATATATATATATATATATATATATTTAGAAAGAAAGAATACACTACTGGAGAATAAATGTATTTTGTTTCATACTGGATGTTCTAGTTGTGTAACAACCAGTGGAAAGGTAAACCACATAACGTAATGTGGAACTGCACTGCATCTGAGCACCACAAACCAAAAATGCTATCTAATTCATTTTCAATATTTAAAACAATCTCCTCCATCCATCCATGTCTCCATGCTTTCATTTGCTGAGAAATTATTTTGAAAAACACACCCTAGCATTTCTGGCAGTGGCCATCTTGAGTAAGGGCAGATGATTTATTTAGCAGTTACTTCCTGGAATCCAGCTGTCCTTAGCTCAGGCATTGGCTGAGCTGAGAGCCCTCCGTCCCCTCCTGAAGGCTCCTGGGATGTATGACATAATTTGCCTAGGCATGGAAACCAGGAAGTAACTGAAGAAATGCAAAAAAAAGGCTAAAACAAGTAAATATGATACACTTTCCTATCTATTTGCTAATGCTAGCAGCATAAGGATTAGAAATAGTCCATATTGATTGAGAGAGTGAAATTCCACTTTAATATTTTTGTTCGCTTTTTTTTTCCATACTGGAAATATTTCCAAATATTTATAACATTTTACTTTGGTGGAAATGCTTACTGTCATCAAACTTTAATTTCAAGATGGAACTACGCACATTTGTACATAATATTCTGTTCCTGCACAATAGATTTATAACTGCAATAGGTAAAAGTACAGTATGCATATATTACTTTAGCCAGCAGTGCAATTCTCTCCTCTTCTGTTTCCACGTATTCCTTCTGAATAAAAGAAGTGAGGTTCTCCACCGCTGAAAGTGGGGCATCTCCCACGAATGTCTCCATTAACTGGACAAACTGGGGCAAGTTGAGGGCCTTGCCATTGAAAGCACTGGGAATGCGTGATGGACCACGAGTATTAATGTCTGAGATGATGTTATATAAATCTGGAACACACAGTGAAGACTTTAAGGTGTATATTTTTATTTTGTCACAATAAATAATTTGAGAAGAAAAGCGTATGTCATTATTAGTATACCTTGTATGGTATGACGGCTGATGGCTTGATAGTTCATTTGAGAGCACAAACAACTGTGACAGTAATTATTCATGGCATGCCTTGAGTGTAACTGTTTTTGGGAGCATTTAACCACTTCAAGTCCAGACACTTTCATCCAGGCCAATTTTCAGCTTTCAGTGCTATCACATTTTGAATGACAATTGTGCAGTCATGCAACACTGTACCCATATGCATTTTTTAGCATTCTTTTGAGACAGATAAAACTTTATTTTGGTGGTATTTATTCACCACTGGGATTTTTATTTTTTTTTTTGCTATATTATTATTATTATTATTATACAGTATTTATAAAGCGCCAATAGTTCGCTCAGCGCTGTACATTACAAAGGGGGACAGAACATGTGACAGAACAATACCAATACAATGCAAAACATGAGGGGATTGAGGGCCCTGCTCTTTCGAGCTTACAATCTAGGAGATATAAATGAAAATGTTCAAAAATTTGGAAAAAAAAGTGTTTTTCTTATAACATTTTTCAATAAATAATCTTTCTTCATAAATCTTGGCCAAAATTTATTTGGTTATCTTTTTTTTTAGTTTTTAGCCAAAAAATGTATTTTTTATTTTTTTTTTTTTATAGTATTTATGTTTTTGGGGGGGTTTTTTTTTAACCATACTGTCACCCTAGCAGACAGTGTCACCATAGTGACACTGTACTACTTGTGGGGGTGATTAAGATTTTGTTTTTTTTAACACTGATTGCTTTTACACCCATAAAAGCTGTAAAAGCAATAATTTCTCCTTCTCTCTGGCTGCATTGTTGCAGCCATTGAGAAATACTGTGAGAGCTGTGATTGGTCACAGCTTGTCACATGGTACAAGGCTGTTGTGAATAGCCTTGTACCATGTGACCTCTGTGATCATTCACAGATTTCACACGTAGTAAGCAATGATGTCAGAAGTGACATCTTGCTTACTACTATTCATGTGATCACTGATTGGCCAATCAGTGATCACATGATCGGGACCTCACACAGAGGTATCGATGTCCCAAGGAGCGTGCACCACCTGAAAATGTGGGCGCCATTTATGCACTGCTCCCGTCCGGCCGTTTATGTACATGGGCCTGACAGGAAGTGATTAAACTAACTAAACTAACTAACTAAAGGCAAAACTTTTTTTTTTTAATTTTGGATAGAGTGCATAGGGATAGTCAGTTTTTATTGTTGTCTCTGTCCTCGTTAGGGAGATTCACCTTATTTGTCCTGTTTACCATTATCATTACAAGTGAAAGTAAAAGAAAAACCAAAACTTTGAGGGGAAATCTGCCAATGGGGACACCAGTTCTGGTGACCTGGGGGTCCCTGAGGAATTCCCTTATTTTGCAGGGATTTCCTCTTACCTCCTGGTAGAGCTATAGGCAGGAAGTAAAGGGAAATCTCTGCAATGACACACAGATGGTGACAAAAATTAAAAGGGGTTATAGCCCTCCCTTACTTCATCCAAAATTAAAAATAAAGTTTTGTCTATAGTTATTTCTAGCCAGGGAGGATTGTGCTGCCATGCAATCTGCATCTCAGTACATTCAGTGAAGTCCAGAGGAGACAAGCAGGGTATTTTGTATGCATGTCTTATTAAAGAAAACGTGTCACCTAAAAATAATCCTAAGGGACTTTTTGTCCCCTATGTGATGAAATAAAAAAAAAAAAGTTACACCCAACCACATAACATCCCCCAAAAAATATTTTGAGGCCCCCCCACCCCCACATATACGCATGTACAAATGTAAACGCATGCATTGGGGGTGCCTACATGTGAAAACGTCCATTGCGATACACGTTACATATCACCACGCACGCTGAAGTGAGAGCAATAATTATAGCAACAGACCTCCTCTGTAACACTAAACTGATGACCTGTAGGGGATTTTGAAGCATTGTCTATAGAAAATATATACTAAAGTTTGTCACCATTTCACAGGCGCACACACATTTAAGGTTTAACATGTTGGGTATCTATTTACTTGGTGCAACCTCATCATCTTTTATATCTTACAAAAAATATGTGCAATTTATGGCATTTGTTTGCCCTACAATTCACCTTTGTGTGTCTTACTGAAATTTTTGATTTTTTTAGACCTTTGCTGTAATATTGTGTGACATAAAAAACTGGAAGTACCACTATTTTATTCTCTAGGGTGTCTTCTTTCAGAAAATATATAATAGTTGGGGGTTTTGTGTAATCTTCAGGACTAAATTGATTTTTTAAACGTGGGTTAAAAAAAAAAAAAAAAAAGTCTCTGGCCAAAAGGGTTAAATCAAAGGGTTTAGTTCAGGTTTAAAATTTAGAAAAGAAAAAAACCTATAAAAAAAAAAAACATTCTTTAAACTATTAAACCAATACTTTATTTTATTTAAAAATTTGCTAGAGTGTGTTTAAATTGCTGATTCCAGCAAATTCACCTTTTTTGTAATATGGTAAATGCAACAGCTGGACAATTTGAACATTTTGCAGTAGCAGTTTCAAACTCTGGCAAGCAGATGTGCTGTCCGGAGCTCTCCGCAGTGCTGAAAGAGTGGAGGGATTTACTAACACTGGAGTACACAGAATCTGGTACAGCTGTGTATAGTAACCTATCAGCTTCTAACTTAGTTTGTTCAATTAAACTTTGACAATAAAACCTACAAGCTGATTGGTTACTATGCATAAGCGCACAACATTCTGTATGCTCCAGTTTTAGTGAATCCCCCAGTGTTTCTACACAAAATGCACTTTTTCCCTGCTTTAGCCCAGGACACCAGGCATGTGAATAGGTATACCTGTGGCAAGCCGACAGGCACATGGTTTATGGACATACTTATAATAGTATGAAAGCTCTTTAACTTAGGAGGTGCTGCGCCAGAGGGACACAAAAAAGGAGTTACCCCTCTTAAAGTACTACTAGATAATAAATAATAAATATCAAGCGTAGGTGAGCGTTGGAACTATAAAGCAGCTAGCACCAAGGTATAGGTAACAACTCCTTATGGATAAATATATAGAAAGTGCAGTGCTAAAATAAGTGAATGATATTATAGTGAAATAAAGTGCAAAGTCAATCTGACATATAGCGAAAAAAAAAAAATTGATCAGCGGAACAGTCAAGTGCAGCATATAAAAATCAAATATAAAAAATGTTCAATAAATCATTCAATAAATGTGAAACAGTAAAGTGCAGCATAAAAGTGAGAATATATAAAGTCCATAAAATATCAGTGGAGTAAGAGCTATAAATTGTGCGTAAGGCTATAAGTACTGCAATCAAAGTGAAATATTGTGACGTGATCCAATAGGGAATCTACCACCTCTGTCAGATGTACACTCAACAGACATCTACCGGTAAACGGCATGTAAGCACATCTCATCTGGGTACAGGTAACAGCAATGAAGCCTCTGCAAGGGATGCTCAGCCAAGGGCAAAAAACGCAGGTGGACCCTCTCCTATGAGGAATAGCTCACCACAGGAGCCAAAAGTAGTATATAGTGTAGTATTTTATTAAATAATGAATAAAAGACAATCCACGTGGAAACAAGTAAGAATGAAGGTAAAATGGAGTAGCAAGATGGCCACCATTCCGATCTTCAGCAACGGCGGCATGACGTCAGCAAGTGCGGCTCCACCCAGGGTACTCCATTTTACCTTCATTCTTACTTGTTTCCACGTGGATTGTCTTTTATTCATTATTTAATAAAATACTACACTATATACTACTTTTGGCTCCTGTGGTGAGCTATTCCTCATAGAAGAGGGTTCACCTGCGTTTTTTGCCCTTGGCTGAGCATCCCTAGCAGAGGCTTCATCGCTGATATTTTATGGACTTTATACATTCTCAGTTTTATGCTGCACTTTACAGTTTCACATTTATTGAATGATTTATTGAACATTTTTTATATTTGACTTTTATATGCTGCACTTGACTGTTCCGCTGATCAATTTATTTATTTTTTCCGCTATATGTCAGATAATAAATCATGACTGGAACAGAAATTTTGTCATCCCATGAGGGTCTTATTGACTTTTTTTTTTTCTTTTTTAGTTTTGGATAGAGTAGGGTTAAAGCCCCTGTCAGCCCTTGTATTCCATTGGGATGATTTCCCTTCACTTTGTGTTCCATAAACATAACAGGAAGTGGTGAAAATGGTTACTAGGGAAAAAGGAGAGGATGAATCCCCCCATGGGAAGACAGCAAAAAAAACATGACAGATTGCTAACCGTTATTATTTAAAAAAAACTTTAAAAAAAAAAGTTTTAGCTTTATATACTGTACATATAGCGCAACCCCCAAAAGAGACGTTGGATTTTGGGCCTTTCCTCCCCCCCCCACACACAGCACCCGCAGCCAGGCAACAGAAATTTTCCACATACTCCAGATGGCTCCAGAAAAAAGTCTCGGAATTTTGGTTTTTGTTTTGTTTTATTTTTGGTTAGAACTTGGATAGGGATTAGGGGTACATGGGATGCCCAAAACTGAAGAAATGCTGCAAGCTATTTACAAATGGTTGAGGACCTGCTAAGGTCTCTGGCTGCATTAGACTGCTTCAGACTGAGCTGCACACAAACAGGAATGATGACACAGAGTGTAAAATAAATGAAAGCTCCAATAAGTCAAAGTTGTAGATGCAGCACCTAGCTGCTCTCAACCCAAGCTAGAGATATTGGGGGTGCTCCTGGCTGCCTTGTACAGCACTCAAGCTGTCCCCTAGCTGTACCATACATGTTCAGTATTGCACTATCCTGTCCTCTATTTAGCTTTGGGTGTGATGGCTGGTATGTACTCAGTCTCTTTAAGTGGCTATTTGGATATAGAGGGCTGCTGCATGGGCCTTTCTGCTGTACAGGCCTATACAGGTTTGGCGTCCCCAAAGTGATCCTTGACCTCTCTTCTCCTCTGTCTGTCTCTCTCTCTTTCTTCTTTCTCTCTTCCTTCTGCTCCCCCCAGAAAAAAGGGGTGTCCTCCAGATGACTGGACCCTGGATTCTTCTTCCAGACTGCCAAGCTTCTGAGTATTTATGGGTTATTTCCACCCCTTCTGGGCCCGCCTCCCCAGGGATTGGTGGAAACTCCATAAATATTCAGGCTGCAGCCCCTGTCCCTCCACCCACTAGATTCTGGGAATATCCAGAAAGTTCCAGAAGATGGGGGAGGTAACCAGACAACAGGCCATGAAACTCTGCATAGCCTTCCTAACCAATGAACCCCTTCTCCTCCTCTGGCTACAGAGGAGCAAAACTAAGTTTACCTAATCTAGTAACCTAGGAGGATGCTACATATAATTTAATAAATTGCATTGTTTCATTTTGTTGTGTAAAATAACATTTTTGTCATATATATTTTACTGCCTAAGATAAAAATTGTCTATTTATATTACATTGTATTTTATCTTATTAGTATCTCAACTTTGCAACCCTGTAACACATAACGGCAGGATCCCTTTAAAGCGGAGCTCCACCCAAAAGGGGAAGTTCCACTTTATGGATTGCTCCCTCGCTCCCTGTTAAGGATTGGCACCTTTGGGGGGCGGGGGGGAGCAGGTACCTGAATTTGACAGGTACCCACTCCCACTTCCAGAAGGTGTCCTCCCTCCCTCCCTGTAGTCTTTTGGGACACGTGACAGGTCCCAGAAGACTACAGGAGCATTCATGAAGTGCAGCGCTACTTGCACATGCGCAGTGGGTACCCGGGTGTGAAGCCACAAGCTGTCGCAGCCAGGTGCCCACACTGAAGATACTGGCGGCTGGAATACAGGACGGCCGCTGAAACGGGCTGCAGGGGACACACCGAGGGACCGAGGGACAGGTAAGTGGCTGTTTTTTAAAAGTCAGCAGCTACAGTTTTTGTAGCTGCTGACTTTTATTTTTTGACAGGGTGAATGGAACTCCGCTTTAACGAAACATTTCCTCTTACAGAGGCCCCAGCTAGTATTCAGGACATTGGTTTGTGTGAGGTAAGGAGAAAATTTAGAAATGAAGCAAGAACCTCCCCTGCCCCTGCAATAGCACTCCTTCTCATGCTGCTACATGAAAGGTATGACACAGTGAACAAATGTTTTATTTTCCTTCGATTAGAACACTATAGGAAAAACAGTCATGTCAGAAGGAAGAGGTGATGCATTTCTTGGTTCTTAATTGTTTGCAATGGTATATAAAGTAACTTTAATGAAGCGTACAGTGCCAACAACTGGCTAATAAAATATTTTAAGGTGTTTTTTACTGTCACGGTTTGGTCATGAGCCAGGCAGAGGTCATACCACTAAAAGTATGCATATTATTACAATTATTTTCATGCTGGGAATCAGAACAGTATGTTTTGTTTTCTATTGACAGGAAGGGCACTAGGTGTTAGTTGTCCTAAGGTATCATATTATAGAGAAGGAAAACATTTTCCAAGTATTGGCACCTTAAAGTACAGAGTATTTCAATAAACCCACTTTGATCCAAGGAGAACATATGATATGTGTGTTCTGGCTGCCAGACATTCCCTTTGATCTTACAAATAAAATACAAGAGTATGTGTAAATGACCACATCAAAGTGAACTTTTGCTGCCCTATAAAAAGCTGTTTTCACATGGCACAGGACATAAAGGTTTAGTGTTAATTGAATGATCACATGCTTAGTCCTAGGGATGAAGTTCAGACTTGCCACCACCATGGGTTCAAGGTTAATCCTGCAGGTTTGAGATGCATGATCCTGGCAAATTCAGTTTCACAAAGGAAATTGTATAATCATTATGCACTGTATGGCCTTTGAACTATGGTCAGTATGCTTAGAAGGACCAAGAAGAAGGCTTTTGGATAAACCAGCCCTCTTGCTATAAAAGGGGGTCAAACCGGAGCAGCCATAGGGGTGGATTTACTAAAACTGGAAAGAGCAAAATCTGGTGCAGCTGTGCATGGTAGCCAATCAACTTCTAACATCAGTTTGTCAGTTAACCTTTGACAATAAATCCTGGAAGCTGATTGGTATCTATGAGGAGCTGAACGCATCAGCTTGAGTAGGTGAACCCTATAGTGCCAGTGTATTTGAAGCTGCTGTAGGAAAAGTGTATGGAGAGGAGACAAACTACAAAAGGACACATTAAATTCAGTCAGTTCTAGATGCTAATTCTTTGGCAATCAAACCCTGTGCTGCCTTTTTGTTCTTATCATTGGGCATTTTGGCTCTAATTTGATTCTATGGTTGATTTAAGGTCAGTGATTATTGCCTTAAGGGAACTGGGGCTGCTAAAAGTAAAGCAACACTTGCCAACTAAAGTTTCTGACCTTGGAATTGGGACAGACATCACACACTTCTGCTTTTACTAAAGTAAATGCAGAACTTATTTGGTTCTTGGGTAGAATAGCGAAGAGTTACATATCCTGTCAGGATTATATTTCTGTCTGTGACCATAATAGGGAGATTTGTACTCTCTACCTGTCCATCTAACATCTGTACAAGAAATAGAGGGTGTCACTAGAATACAAAGGCACGGACAATAATAAAAATGTCCTTTCCTCTCTCTACTAAAATGTGTTTTATTTTTGTTCCTGTTGGAGAGATTTCCTATTATGTTCTTTAGTGACAGGAAATGAGGGGAAGTCTCTCCTGGACCTTCAAATCTGCTATGCCAGGCCCACACTTAATTTTTTCCACCCTCCACACTAATCCAACAGAACAACCTCTCACCCGCACCTCCACTTTAAATTGTACTTATTAGCCCCGTGCATACGTCAGATTAGTACTGCTGGCACCCAAACTGCATACACTCACACTATTATACAAGGAAGATTTATTCACATTGACCTTGATTCCATTCAAACCTCTGCTGTATTCAGGGACCAGATACAGGGAAATCTCTGGTCCCCAGCTTCATTAGGGGCATGACACATGACCTAGTATGGGAAGTCAGCTTACCTATATCTCGAGGCCAGATAGTCAGTGATCAAAGGTGTAAATGGATGTGGGCAATGTGAGCATTCAAATTGCCTCCTGCCTACCTTACATTCCCAGTCACAGCACCTACCTCCCCAACTCATGCTCTAGGTCACAGTGCTGTCCTGCTATTCACCTCACTCCCCCAGTTACAGCTCATCCCCACCTTTCTCACTGTACATTTTGCCACCCACCTCGCCTTCACATCCCAAGCACCCCAAAAACCTTCCTCCCTCCCACCTTATCACCCTACTGATCACAGTGCCTTCTTCCCACTTGACTTCCTCCCATCCACCTCTCCTTCCCTGTCCTCTGATCACAGCACCTCTTTTTCACCCCCCACCGCCCCTTACTCGCAATGCCTCCTCCCATCCTTTTCAACAACCCCCTGCTCACAGCACCTTTCTCCCACCTAATCCCCCCACACACACACACACATCATAGCATTATTTTCCTTCCATATGGCCCCCATTCACACCATCTCCCTGTCCACCTCACCACATCTCTCCCCATCCACCTCACCCAACCCCAGAACACCGTGCCTTTATTTCTGACCAACTGAACCCCCACTTTGTGTCCACCATTTACTCTCTGTTCTTAGTGCATTCCTCCTGGCATCCAGCATTAGCTGCCCGCTAAGTCACTGCTTCAACGTTATGACCACCTTATACAACCTACCAGTGCAAACAGCTCTAATGCTCTAAAAGTGTCCCCTACACCTGCAGACTACAGTGCAATTTAACAATCAACTCTGCTCCACAAAAATGCCCACTTTATAACAGGCACATATTTGCTGGTTTGCTATAATTACCTGTGAATTTGGAGACTGTGTTCTGACATTCATCTTGATTTCTGTCACCGTATGAACTGTATCGGATAGCCAGATCTGAAGTCAGCAGATCTCCTATAAAGATAAACAAGGAACAAATATATATAAAATATATATTCTGTGTACGGCTAAATACATACACAAGTAAATGGTATGAGTTTAGTTGGTACGGGACTATCTAAGTAGTGCATGGGTTTCATCACAATAGAGGAATAAAGGATGGTGTTTGGTGTCATAGGTGGAGATGGGCGAATATGGATGCCATTATTTCATAGAAAGCTGAATAATATCACTATGGGCCTGTCTGACATGAATATAGTGATGGCACTATATTGCACCTGAACATTTTACATCTACACCTTCATTTAAAAATAGAAGGTCCTAATGCATAGAAGTAAACCATCATAACTGCTGCAAAGTTACACTCTATATATAGCCATCTCTTTCTTTTACCAAAATAACTTTTTACATATCATTTTCCTATCTTATATACTGTTGACATGCACATGCAAACTGAGGCTGATTTACTAAAGGAGTTATTGTGTGAAAATGCACTTCAATTATTCAATCGTGTGAAAAGCATATTCCTATTTACTTATTTGATGTGCATATGACTGGATAATTAAAATGAATATTCATAAAATTTATTGTGTGAATATTCTCAACTCCTTTAGTAAATTACCCCAAGAATTTGCATTTTTGCCAGGTTTCCTCCCACACTCCTAAGACATGGCTTCTGCTTCTGTTCTAAATTGTCCCTAATATGTGTATGTATGATTGTGGGTTAGGGAGCTTAAATTGTACGCCCCTTGAGGGCAGGAACGGATGTGAATGTGCAATATATATGTAAAGCGATGCGTAAATTGACGGTGCTATCAAAGTACCTGTGATAATAAATACATTTAACAATTACAGTGTTCAGATTGTTTGACAGTATAATGTGAGAATCTGTAATTTAGGTATATATAATTTGCAGTAATTGTCATGGAACCATATAGAGGGAACAATAAAAGTTCAGTAGTGCTGTGATTAGTGAAAAAGGCAAAATCTAAATTAAAAAAATAAACAATTCTACACATGAACCAGTTATTAGTAATAGCAAGATTCTGCAGCAAGAAAAATATGATGACCACATCTGTTAGTGTATAGATCGTCATCCTACAAGCTCTTTTAGGCTAGCCATACACTATACAATTTTCTTGAGATTTTGGTTTAGATTTACCAAAAACCATATAATAGGAGGTCAAACCTAACAACACTTCAATTGTATCCAACTAGGCAGGCTCTTGCACTACATAGTTGAAGGTAAATCTAAAATTGGGCAGAAATTGGACAGAAAATTGTATAATGTATGGCCGGCCTTACTCTCCCATGCACAATTTTGATGTCTTAATCATGTAATGCCTTCCAATATACATCAGATGTAGATGAACGCTGGTTGTTTAGAGCGGGCACACAGGCCTTTCAGATGTGTCTCTCATATGTTGTATTTTCCCATGCCTAACTTGCAAGGAAGTATAAAAGCAAAGCATAAACTGATAATACCTGATCTCAAAAGACCATGTACACTAGCCTCTAACAAGTTAATGTGCTCAAGCTAACCAATTAGTAGAATTTAGGGTGTGAGGGTATCATATAGTTACCTGACCAAGGTTTTTCCTCGATATTCTGTGAGCCTCTGCTGCCATTGTCTTCAGCTTGTGGGGCTTGTTCATTCTCTGTTGTACCTATAAAAGTTATTAATATTAAACAAAAATCAATTGCAATGATCATGGGACATCTGTGATTATAGCTAACAGAACCACATCCAATTGGTCTTATGGATACAGCTGTATTAGGGCTTTCATACACATGGCTAAACAATTAGAACTGCTACACAACAACATGCAAACAAAGCATAGTAACCAAAACCATTCCAAGGAAAGGTACTTTGTATAATACATTTGTCTAGCTGCTGCTTCATTGTTTAAAACTTTTATTTCCCTTAACCCCGAACACAGCTGTAAATTTTGGTTTTCTGGAGCTGAAACGTACAGTGCTGCTCAGAGTACTGAGATTATTGTGGTTTGTTCAATTTACTTCCCTGATTATTGAATGGCAAGGAGCTCTGATTGGAGAAGAGGAGATTGTGACGTTCATCCACACCTTCTCCAATCACAGAGCTCCTTGCATGTATTGAAAAGCATTGTTTGTATGCTGAGTGTGACCCACAATTATCTCAGTACTCCTGGTGGCATTGCAAGAAGTTTACTGCTTCTTCCACTGTCCAGTCACAGGCTGGGGTGAAGAGGAGACCTGTAAGTGTTGAATAAGCTGCAGCAGCAGAGAAAAATCAGGTCTCTCACTCTGCTAGACGGGTGTGTATATGTGGCTGGACTGTGTAAAGCTCAAGATTGGATGGAGAGAAATAAGAAGTCCATTGGCAGATAAAACAGCTCTCCCAAATAAATGTATTCTGTGTATTTAGCTGTTTGCCTGAAGCTCAACTTTTAAGATATGATTCTGATTGGTTGCTGTGGGTTACTGCCATGAACATGTCCTCAGTGCTCTTTGCACTGCCTTATTAATTAATGTGATATATGTTAGTTCTGTTACTTTTTACATCAGCATTTTCCCTAATGGATGTACTAAGCGAATAGTCAACCATCTGCTATTGACCAATCATGTTGCCGACTTAGTATTTCAAGCCCACCTTCTCCTGTATCACCTGCACTCTTCTTCAGTTCTTCAACTGCATGGACAGACTCTGTTGATATAATAGAGGTTGCAGTAGTGGGCGCTTCTCCTTTTTCTCCTTTCTCTTCTGTTGGGTTAACACCTTCCTGGAAATCAACCCAGAAGTCTGTTGGATCCATTTCTCCTATTTCAATTACTGGCCCTGAAATAGAAGTATATCCATAACCACTTGAAGACCAAGTGTTTACAAGTTTAAATCAGTATTTTTTGCTAGAAACGGGAACGGGTACCTAGTTTTGACAGTTTGACCCCCCTGCCCACAATTCACATTGTGTACCGCAGCTCGCGTATGCGCAGTGGGGAGCTGGCTTCCCACACTCAAAATGGGGACCCTAAGACCAGTGAAGAACCGGCCCAGGTGCAGACAGCACTGGATCCCTGGACAGGTACGTTTCCTTTTATTAAATGTCAGCAGCTACAGTACTTATAGCCGCTGCCTTTTCTATTTTTAAAAAGTGATGGAAGATCCTCTAATTGTAGCTAGAGGTAGGAAGACTTAGAGTTTCTGTCAGGTGTTTTACTTTTATGTGTGATCTAATTGGGAAGCTTTTCCCTCACTTCCTGTCTCTATGATGCCAGTACATGTACAGTAATGGGGGACATGGTTTTCACCAGGACAGAAAAACAGACGGCAATAAAAACATTACCAGAAGTTCTAAGCCTACATGTGCAAGTCATTGGGGAAGCACCGCAAACGCCCAGCAACCGTATGCAATGCAAATGGTGGCAGCGTGATTGTCTGAAAAAATGGGGTTAATACAGGGAGTAAGGAGTCATCGCATCACTTCCTGACCTCCTGTCAGTAGCATCTGGAGCACGATCCTAGCGCGGATCAGGCTTCGTGGTCTAAATCTACCCTGAGAGGAATAGGAACACACAAAGCAGGGAACATCTTACAGAAGCTCTAATTAAATTAAAAACACAAATTTTTGGCAAGAGTTATTAAAATACATTTACACAATATTGGTATTCTAAAGATCTGACTGGATCATTGATTAAGTCTATTGACTTGTTGGTCCTGACAGATCTTAATACGTGGAATGAAGAAGGTATCTCACATTGCCGAGGGTTTCGTGGCTGCCATTCTTCTACCTCAGTAATTATTCTGTCATAGAATATTTCCAGAAGGGCCAGAACCCTCTGTCTATCCAGGAAACCAATCTGGAACAAAATTTCAAAATATAGCATTAACACCAGGATTCTGTTTTATTGCTTTCAATAAACATTGTTAATTGCTGAAGGCCAATTTCACACAAGCTTCAGCTTGTACAAGAGCAGTGTGAACAGCAAGCTTTGACAAAGCATTTGCAGAGCTTTCACCAAGCTTTGTTGATGCTTTTAAAATAACAGTCAGTGTTGACTGCCACTTTACACAAGCTGCCAGCAGGCTACAGTATCACAATCTTCAAGAAGTGCTGAAGTCTGCTAGCAGTTTGTTTAAAGTGGCAGTCAGCACTTCCATTAGGATTTGTGTTCAGCATTTACAAACTGGAGCTGAATGGTACTTTGAAAGCTTCACCAAAGCTTGCTGAAAGCTCTGCAAATGCTTTGTAAAAGCTTGCTGTTCACACTGCTCTTGTACAAGCTGAAGTATGTGTCAAACAGGCGTGACACATTATCCAGAAGTAGTAAGTATGAGTATGTACAAAATATATAGAATAGTGTAGGCAAATCTATTGGGTATGACTCATGGTAACTGTGTTAGTCTGTGATTAAGATTGGGTTACTGCAGGTCAAGCTGGATGGCTTAACAAGTTGGGACTCTATCTCCTCCACCTGATTCTGGAGGACCATTTGAACCTTCCAGAAGCCAGTGGATGGAAGAGGCGAAGATCTAATCTGCATGTTTATGGGAGTCTAACCAATCCCAGATTGGGAGGCCCTGGTAGAGTGGTGAACCAGCCCATAAATACGGGAGAGTTAGGCTGGCAGGGGAGTCAGGTGGAAGATGGAGTGCTGAGGAGACTGTCGGTGGCCTGGGAGGGGTCCCCTAGGTCTAGAGGGGGCCAGCTTCAAGGCTGGGCTCAGGCTGACTCAGGATCGTCTATTCAGTAGTATGGCATGAACAGGATCAAGGCCTGGGAGCAGTGGGACCAAGAGGAACAGTGGAAGTACATCAACATACCCAGGGATTTACATGGGGAGAGACTGACACATGTAGCAAGCTTTCAAAGGACAGCACTGTGCCTAATCCCTTATTCTGGTAGTGTCTGCAGGCTGTGGAGCTGGGAAACATTCTACAGGGAAGAGGAGACACCTCTGCATGTAGTTTGCAACAAGCTGAACTAACTTTCAAGGGGTTAGCCCATAAGGGGTAGTTGCTATTGATCTGTAAAGACTGATGGCTTTCAAGGAAAAGAACAGTCCAGGATCTGTTTCTGTAAATATGCAGGAAGTTGTCCCCGTGCATTGTTTCAGTGAAATTGGGCATTCCATAATCCTTAATATCCTCTCCAAGTTATTTCCCCTAATAAAATAACAAAAAACAGGTTCACAAACTGTTCACTGACTGTGAATGCAAGTGTGGAAAATGCATGTTGCCTGGCTGTGCAGAGCTTAGGGGGATATAGAAACTCAGCGGCCCTCACAAGGGTAGCACTACATACAGTATATATTGTGTGAAAGAGGCATATGTAGTCACAAAATGTGTGCTTCCCATTCTGGGTACTTTAGGGCCTGAGCACCATTGTTTCAGGTGGGAACATACTTTCAGTCAGCCTGGCTTTGATTGTGTACTTTAATTTCACATGAATGCTATATACTGAATAGGGAAGGCAAGCATCCCCAAAACATTTTTGTAATTTTAGATGTAGTGGGGAAGGTTAGAACCCTAAAGATTTTTTTTTTGCTGTCTGTACTCCTGCTGGGGAGATTCACCTTCTTTATCTGTCCTAGAGACAATTATTATGTAGACAGAAAATCATAGAAAACTGAAACCTTTGCAGTTGCCACCAGAAAAGGGAGTGAGGGGAAATCTTCTGTAGCCAGGTGCTTGGCTAAGAATGGATAGTGAGAGAAACACTGGCTGCAGTTGCTCCCTGTAGCTGCTGCCCTATGGTGCTGAACCAGTTAACAGCTATTTCAGCAAAAAGAAGAAGCTGCTAAGCAGGAAGAGTGCAACAGACTGAGTCATACAGCACTGCACTGTGGGAACTGTCTTGTTTCTGAGCTGAACTACGGGTACAAACAACAAATAACATACACATATATGGTATCGCTGCGATCGTCAAGAGATGGAGAATTTATTTTGGGTTGTTCTTTGGTGGTAGGTTATGGTAGTAACAAGAAACACACAGCTAAATGAAAAAAAAAATATTTTTTTTTATTATTTTGGGCCAGTTTTCCTTTGATAATAAAAAAAATCAGGAGATATCCATCACCATTTACCACCAAATGAAAGCCCAATTTGTCCTGAAGAAAACAAGGTATAATCCACCTGGATTGTACAAAGTATTTGTGATGATATGTATGGTTTTACTAACAGGTCAGCCAGGGACGGACTGACCATTCGAGCACTCGGGCACTGCCTGAGGGCCCGGAGTCAGTAGGGGGCCCCATGAGATGCCCCTGGTACCTTTCATTGGCTTATTCATAGGCTTTTTTGGGTGTGGGCAAGGACACAGAGGCCCCATGATCCCCTATTGCCTGGGGAGCCCCATGAGTTGTCAGTCCGCCCCTGATGTCAACGTTTCAAAATTGTGCTTAGGCATTTAGATTTGTTTTACCCTTAGGCGTGAAAGGTTAATCTCAGGCATGGTTCCTTTCTTAGAGTGTAAAAAGAAAGGGGGCCAGTCACCTTAGGAAGTTTACAATAGAATCTGGTTTATTGTATAGGACAATATTGGAAGGAGGGCGAGATGTAAATCAGAATATCCTCAGAAGTAGATGATCACATACTTTAAACTAGGCCTTAACCACTTCCCGACCGGCTGTTGTATATAAACAGTGGCACTGCAGGGTTGGGTGGCCGTTTATCAATGGCCTCCCCGCACCCTGCTTGTGTGCGCTCTCCGGGAGCGAGCAGCATTGCGATCCGGTGCCCGCTGTGTCCTCCGTACACAGTGAAACACCGATCGTCGAACAGGACCTCTGTACGAGGTCCTGATCATGTGATCACTGATTGGCCAATCAGTGATCACATGCAAAGTAGTAAGCAAGATGTCACTTGTGACATCATTGCTTACTACATGTGAAATCTGTGAATGATCACAGAGGTCACATGGTACAAGGCTATTCACAACAGCCTTGTACCATGTGACAAGCTGTGACCAATCACAGCTCATTCAGAGTTTTTATGGCTGCAAGGATGCAGACAGAGAGAAAGAGAAATTATTGCTTTTACATCCTATATGGGTGTAAAAGCAATCAGTGTTAAAAAAAAAAAAAAAAAATCTTCATCACCCCCCAAAAGTAGTACAGTGTCACCATGGTGACACTGTACTGCTATGGTGACAGTATGTAAAAAAATAAAAATAAATAATAATATAAAAAAAAAAAAAAATGTAAAACAAAATATTTAAAAATTATAATTTTTGGTTATAAACTAATTTGGCCTATTTATTTTTACTAAAAGATAACAGAATACATTTTGGCCAAGATTTATGATGAAATATTATTTATTTGCAAAATTTTATAAGAAAAACACTTTTTTTCAAAATTTTTGGACATTTTCATTTACATAGCAAAAAAAAATAAAAATCCCAGCGGTGAATAAATACCACCAAAATAAAGTTTTATCTGTCTCAAAAAAATGGTAAAAAATTAATATGGGTACAGTGTTGCATGACCGCGCAATTGTCATTCAAAGTGTGATAGCGCTGAAAGCTGAAAAATTGCCCTGGAAAGGAAGGGGGTAAAAGTGTCCAGACTGAAAGTGGTTAAAGATGATCTCCAGGGAAAGCAAAACTGCTCCTTGGCAGAGGGCATGCTGGATCTAGGGGGCTGCAAAAAGCAGTTTTTCTTACCCAATCCTCTGCTCCTACATGCTCCTTTGAGGCTATAGGACCGGTCCTCTCAGACTTTCTTCTCTATGCTCTATCAGTTGCAGGTTCTCTGACATCCTCAAGTCCAATGCAGAGCCCTGCATTGGACACGAGAATTCCGAGGGACAGTCCACTATCAGAGCATAAAGGAGTAGGGGAGAGCAGACCCCTAGAACTAAACAGGCATTTAACCATTGCAGAGGCAGCCCAACTGCAAGGAAGGGGGTTTTCTTTCCCTGGAGATGGGTATAATCTCTTTTAAAGGCTTTCTCTGTATATTTTGAACATAGACTATGTTGACTGCACTCTTGCAGAGCTCTGGCTCCTTGGTAATTGAGGTTCAAGTGGTGTCTTGGTTTTTAAATTGCAAGTGCAACATAAAAAGGTTCCTGTGTATACGTCACACTCCTCCAGGTACTCACAACATCTCTGTACATTCTATACAAGGGGAGATCCCTGCATCCTTCCATCCCTAGGTCTGAGGGCTTGGAAGGGAGACAATTCTCCATATGATGACATCCTTCCAGGGCAAAAACCCTTGAGGAAAGAAAAAGAGCAGGAAGTGTCCCAAACCACACATTTAACCCTCCATGCATCACCAGGCCCCCCAATCCTGCTGATTAAACCATCAAACATCCATAACATAGAATAATACCTTTCTAGCACATCCTTCTGGTGCAAGCTCAAACAACAAGTCTCAGAGAAAAAACATTCTATGCTTTGAGATCATTCCTGTTGAGGTACCGATAGACTGATTGCAGTCCTCTGTTTGCTACTTTAACAAAAAAAAAAAAAAACTACATCCCTACAATGGAGCTAAAAGGACAGTCGTACATGATAGGCATGTTATGGCAGATATGCTCTTTTCTGTATAATTGCATACATGGTAGTGATGGCTGAGACCCTATGCAGACCTTTCTCTTTCTACTCTATGGGATTATAAAGCTTGCTTCTCTCACTAACAAGAAGCAGTAGACTGATTAGCTCATCTGTCCTTCACTGTGCTGTCTCCTTCCAACAGCATGTTCCTTTTTAGCACATGAATGCATAGGCTCCTTTGGCTACGTTTTCCTCTCCCAGTCTGAGCTCTGCTATATAGGGTATTGTAAAAAAAAACTAATACTGACTAAAATTCAGGCACTTACAGTGCTTGTATTAAAAAGTAACACAAATGTGTGTTGTAGTAATTAACACAGAGCTGCATTAATTTGTATCTTTTATAGCTGCCTTGGGCTCAGCATTAAGGGAGAAAAGCAGGAACAAAATCAGAAACGTACATACTACAACAGATAAAAGCAAACCAAGCCTGTGTTAACATCTACCAAATTTTTATAATAAAATTGCCACCCCAAGGCATTAGGGTCTGTGATATAGAGTAATTAATGTCACCCATTGTTTAAAATAGTAAAAAAAGAAAACATTGTCGAGTGGACCAACCTTTGCGGCATCACACGCAAGAAAAAGTTCAGTAAACCTCTGTCTCCAAATATCGTGGCGGATTGTCTCACGGAACATGTCTGCACATTGTGCCATGTGATGTAGAAATTCCTGAAAGAGGTCTGTGTTGATGTGACTGATGAGCTGATATACATACTGAAAGGGAACATATAAAATAATTATCAGTGTATTCTATCAATGATGAGTATGTTTTACAAAGCAGTCTAATAAAACAACCTATATACTAGGTTTGGTCATTTTAGCTGACAAACCGTGCTTACTGCAACTCTAAAAATTAAAACACTTGTGCTTCTAAATTTTCGTGCATTTTTTTGTATGCATTTTTCATAGATTTTCATAATTTATGCATTTTCATGCACTCCTATTGAGGAGTATGGGGCTAAAAACACAGTAAAAAAGTTGGACCAAAAAAAGCATCTTTTTTCCAAGTCACACAAAAAGCACAATGCATAAGTGTGCACAGACTCCATAAAAAATAATGGGATTACACTTGTACATTGTCACAGGACAGCCAAAGCATAACAAATCACACTTGTGTGAACAGGGACTTAGCAGCTGAGGCAGACATGTTTAAGGTTAAGCCCTTTGTCTTTCATTTCTACTGACACAAGGCTCCAAAACCATTTTTTTTTCTGTTCCTAGACTCTGAGGCTCAAAAAATGCTAATGGCTTAAAGTAGTGTGCATGTACACATAGGATAACACTATTTAGCTTCTAGGAGCAGAAAAAATGCTAATAACAGCTTCTAGGAGTTTAAAAAAATGCTAGTGTGCATGGAGCCTAAAGTGCAGTAGTACAAACTGTAGTAACCTAAAACATTTTGATCACAATAAATCAAAATCTTTCTATAGGTTACTGAAAAATTCTTGTATTTTTGTAGTAAATAAGCAATAAAGCCTAAATATAGTCAAAAAATAGAAAAAAAAAATCTGCATTACAATATTTACTATCAATGTGAAGTATCCCTTGTACAGCTAGCTCCTACTTTAGCTGAAATATTCCATCTCCAGCCCCCCTACCTTCTCCACCTCACCTTCCAGTGCGGCAGGGGTTAATAGCGTCGATAGACCTGACATATGCACTCATCAAAAATGCTGACTATGCCCACCCTTTCTGCTTCTCTTCTCCATTCATGGTAGCTATAGTACAGCTTCTATGAATAAAAAATGATCTGCGAATGGAAAAGGTTGACCTTTCATTCATCTGCCTGTCCTCCATTTATAAATCGTTTGATTTATAGAAGCTATAGTACGTTTCCTATGAATGGAGTAGGTGGGCAGAAAGGGCAAGCAAAGTCAGCATTCTTGGTGAGTGAATATTGCAGGTCTCTTGGCTCTGTTAATCCCCCCTCTCCCTTCCATCACAACCTTTTGGTGCTGCAGGGGTTAATACAGCCTGTCATATATTTTACAAGCATCAAGAATGCATATGCCTGCCATTTTTCACACACTTTCTCCATTTAAGGATGGAGGGATCAGAGGAGGAATATTTCAAATAAAGAAGGAGCAAGCAGCACAAGGGATGCATCAAACTGATAGTACGTAATGTCCCTTGTGCTGATTTTTCTGACTAAACGTAGGCTTTAAGTAAGCCAGAGACACATAATCAGAAACTATAAAAAATATAATGTAGTAAAAAGAGAGTTGGATGTTAAACTAGACAAAAGAAAATTAAACCAAAAGTATCAGAGAGTTACTAAGAGTTATTACCAATAGTAACTGATTAGGTATCACCATTTGTTCTATGGAAAACAATGATCGCTAATTTCATAGGTTGCTTTGGACAACAATCTCACTTTGGTGCTCAGTTTCTTTTTTCCATTTGTAACATTGGTACTTCAGAAAATGGAACAGGTTTGAATTTGGTAGGTCACCAGTTTATGTATGGGAACAAAACACTATGGTTTACATAAAAAAAATGTGTACATGCTAAGAAGAGAGATTTGGCAGACATTGCAGTGTTTATTGAAATACGTTCAATATTTAGGTGTTAGAAAAGAATGAGCTTTAACCTCTATATATATTCTTCTTTGTTAAGCTTCTGTTCCAGTGTGTCCACTGTCTCCAGCTCTTTGATCTCTGATAAACAAGATAGGTTTTATTAGAAATATTGCTAACTATGTAATTTTTACTAAGCATCTTTCTTGAAACTTCAGGGCTCCCTTTACATCTGCACACTGCATTACCAAATGCACATTTACATGCATTGCAACAAGACAGGTATATCTATTTTGAATCAGGGCCAACGTTGCTAAAACCAGACAAGCATCGTTGTTTGGTATCTTCTGTCAGAAATCCCTCTTCCTGCCTTTCAGCATTTATGCACACTGAGCTGCATATGCACAGCACAGTGTACATTTATGGCACTTCTCTTTGTGACATCAAGGCAACTGGCCAACTAAATGGCTGAAGGTCTTTGAACCCATAAGAAAGATGGGGAGAAAAAGGCAGCACCTGTGTCTGATGGGAGTGCTGACAGTGCAGGATGGGGGGATGGTTGCCTTCCAGGTATATCTTCCATAACAAACACAGCAAATACTTTACTTCTGTGCTGGAAATGGACTCAGCAGAGGCTAGGATGACAATGTAAATGTTCTGGAATATGCACTGCTTGCTGCCCTCAACAGACCGGGGTAATCCAAAGTCACTGAATGCAAAAGAAAAACAAAAAGGGGGGCGCACCGGCCTAGTGCATTATCATTTCAAATATTTATTGAAAGAATAAAAAAGTAGGTAGCCTACTCACAATGGACATATATAAACACAGGCACATTACAATGAGCAAAGGTGTTCAATCCATATATCATTGAGTCCACAACGATGGAACCCTGGATGACCAACTGGCTGATGCGTTTTGAGGACTCTCTGAGGAAGAGGCTGAGTCCTTCCAAACACGTCAGCCAGTTGGTCATCCAGGATTCCATCATTGTGGACTCAGATGCTACAGTATATGGGTTGACCACCTTTGTACATTGTGATGTGCCTGTATTTTATATGTCCATTGTGAGTATGATACCTACTTTTTTTTTCTTTCAATAAATATTTTAAACGATAATGTACTAGGCCGGTGCGCCCTCTTTTTGTTTTTCTTTTGCATTCAAATCTTCCATAATGTACTAATATTCTGTGTATACTATCACATTGTTGCTTGGGCCTCAATAAGAAGAAAATTTGGCAGAGATTTAATTCGCCATTAAGGGCAAACAGAACAGAGGGAAGATCTTCCATTGGAACACTTGTTCCTATGATAAGTGTCTAAAAAGAGATATTTTTCACATTGGAAAGATATCTCCTAACTTCCCATTGAGTATAGAGGACAGACCGTGAAGGAAAATCTCCCTAATGAGACAGAGATGGCAAAAAAGTTCTAACAGACGTGTTACCCCTCCCCTGCTCTACCCAGAATGAATATAAAAAGCTTTGCCTTTAGATATGCTTTATAAAAGATGGAATACAATTTAGGAAATAGCTTGTCATCTTTACTCATTAATATGTTCATGCAGTCATACAGTATGGCATATTAAAGCGGAGCTCCACCCAAAAGGGGAAGTTCCGCTTTAAGCTTTTGTCCCCCGCTCCCCATAAAGGATTGGCATTGGGGAGTGGTTACCTGCTCCCAGTTCCGCTGTGATCGCCTAGGCCGCAAGCTGTCACAGCCATGTGCCCACACTGAAGATGCCAGCGCCAGAGAGAGAAGACGGCTGGTGAAACGAGCCGTGGTGAGGACACAGCTGGACTGAGGGACAGGTATGTGTCTGTATTTTAAAAGTCAGCAGCTACAGTTTTTGAAGCTGCTGACTTATTTTTTTTTCAGCTGGAACTCCGCTTTAACATTAATGGCTCTTACCTAGTTTGGGCCCTGCTGTATTTTCAGAGACAAACTCAAAGAACGATTTTAAAGCACTTTGTACCTACAATGACATAAAATAACAGAGGGATTGATTTACTAAAATAAATGGACAAAAGCAGAAATAAATCACAATGGTATGCTTGGACTTTAGGTTGCAAAAGGGCACTGATGTAGGTGTGAATAGCGAACTCAATTCCTGAACCTGTATAGAAAATCATACACTGATGTGGACACTGCTCCAGCTTTGACACTATAGCATATACTCCATAGAAAACCACATTTATTTGTAAATTCATGTATTGTGGCTATACGCATTGTGGCTGCCTAGTAAAAAGTGGGCTTATAATGTCTTCTGATTATGATTAATGTACCAATGTATGTGCATTAAGTAAATCAGGCCCAATATGCAACTAGGAGCATGCTGCTATAGCAATACCCCCTTAAGGATTGCTGATGATTTTGGTTCCCCCTATAGTCCTGTATAGCCAGTCAGCACACAAGCTTTCATCTGTAGACAGAAATCAGGCCTTGAGTGTTGGTTTTGTTATTTTATAGAGGGGATTAAACTTAGATGGGATAAAGGGTATATTGGATGCCCATGGGAACCAAAATCTGAGGACAACTTCCTGAACTATTCATGGCTTCTTTTCTCTGGCACAGTCTCTGTTGGAGTGCTAGCCAGCAGCTCCTAGTTGAACCACCTCAGACCCTAGATGAACTCCTCTTCACCCAGCAATCTGGAGATTTTTCTTCCAGAGCATGGGATCTGGCTCCTGTTCCTTTAAGTGGGTAACAATCACTAGTAAATGGCTAATCTGGTTTCCCACCAGAGTGCTCCTTCCGCTATCTGCCCAGGGGGTGCAGGTGTACTCACTCAGATCCTCTCCTGGACCGCTTGCAAAATGACTGCTGCTACCAGGCCTATCAGCTGGGCTGCTCCTTCCCTGCTATATAGTTGGTCCTCTCTCAGGGGGCCAGTGAGTTATAAATTTTCCTCTTTTGCAGCTCCAGGCTCGCAAGCAGGCCCCATCTCACTAGGCCTCCTGGCAGCATTCCTCCTCCAGCTTCACAACTTTCTGCTTCTCACTTCTTTCCTACCACCACCTTCCTGCTACTGAGCAGGCTCCAACACTTTTAAGGGAGTCCAGCCCCTTGCCAAGCCTTCTGTTGGGAATTGGCCAAAGTCCCTAAAAAGTGCAGCCAACCACTCCTCAGATCCACCCACTGCCTCCAAGGCCCTCCTCTGAAAGCCTCAGAGCAGGGAGAAATTCCAGAGAGGCTGGCCTGCAGAGTCTATCAGTCCTGACCAGAATTTGACCCATCAGGCTCTCTCACCTGAGCTACTAATCAGCTCCTTACAAGTCATTAGGGTCTAGCTCCCCCTAGCTAAACTAGGAGGGTGCTGAACTGCTATGGGGGAAATTTTTCAAAACTGGAACAGAATCTGACGCAGCTGTGCATGGCAACCAGTCATCTTATTTCTTCAACTTGTTCAGTTACATTTGCAAGGGGTGTTTTGCCATGGTGTGAATGGCAGCTGCAGGGAATTTACTGTTGTGTGTGACAGGTGTGAGCATCCAGCTATGGCTGACAAGCACATATACTTTAATGACATGTTGTCTACAGATGCAGGTATTCGTGGCTTTTCACACAGCCAATGATTACCTATTGTGATCACTGCTGGATGCACTTTGTTTGTGACGGGGGTAAACATGGAAACAGGTGGCTGAGCCGTGGCTCTACGCCTACCACCCAAACTGTAAAATAACAGCTGGATGGGATTGTTCACATGCCACAGCCATGACGTTTGCGGCCACAGCATCTTCAACTCGGGGTGCAAAGTTTGACGAGCAGCACAGCTTATCAATCTCACCCATTGAGTTCAATTGTGCAATGCACAGGATTATGGCACAGTAGTGCATCATTATAGAGTTAAATCAGGTGGCGAGGACACTACACCTCCTCAGCACCTGTCAAATGCTCTGGACTGCTCTTCAGAGAAGACTGCACACTATCGTGAGTGTGAAAGAGCACTGAGATAAAATCTGATATCTTGCACATGCAGCATGTCTGCCTGCATTATTTCCTTCTAATTTTAAAATCTTTCCATGCAGAAACACTAGGATCTGTTTAAGGTACCCTGGGCACATTTACCTTACAAAGAACAAGTTGTCCATGTACAGCAAATATTTGGTAAATGAGTAGCAGATATGTTTTAGGCATGAGCATGGACAACAAAAAAACACAGGTTTCTACAGGAAATTATATATTATTTTTAGTCTAGAGATCCAAATGTGAATGGACATTTTTTTGGAGATCTCAACACTTGCTGCTTGACAATTATGGCGAATGTTAAGTAAAACAGTATTAAACATGAAAACAAAAAGAGAACTAAATGTTTGCTCATTTCTGTGACATTATGGTAAATTTTATATCTAAAGTGGGGTACACACTATGAGAAAATTGGAAGACAATTTCCATACGAGGAACAATTGTTCAATTTTCGTATAGTGTGTACACAGCTTACCAGATCCGATTCAGACTTTCCAAACAAACATTTCCAAAGGTACAAACTCCAAATTGTTTCTTGTATGTGAACACAACTAAAGAGTTTTGTTTAATGTGTACTGTTTTTGTACTGAAAAATTGGAAACGAAAGACTGCGCATGATCAGAAACAATAAACAACAGTAATCCACGCTACAGCATTTCTATGTCAAAAAAAAAAAAGCCTTTGTCATTTGAGAATTTTTGAACAATTAGTCCTAGCCTCAGGTTTGGGGAAAACCAGAAGATCGTTTGCTCGATTTTCTTATAGAGTGTACCCAGCCGAACCCTCTGTAGATAGACCCCCTTAGAAAATTAGAACTGATGACAGTTCTTGAATTTACCAGTGCAAGAGGGATCCTCCCGGTGACATCCAGTGTCCATTCTTGGAACTGCAAAGACAAAGCTTCCTTTCTCTTCTGCATGACCTGGCTCTGGATATTTTCCACCTGTTCCCTGTTCTCTTGGTTTTCCTTCAGCTCTTCTTTCAGCTGTCCTAACCTGCCATCAAGAAGTGTGTCATGCATAACTGATATTGTGAATAAAATAATATCTACCACATAATCAAGTATCTCATTTGACATCGGCATGATTATGCATTTTTACTGGCATTTATTAACTGTGGATACCTTATACATGTATACATTACTTTTACTGAGTATTAAAGAAAACCTGTTGTGATAGAATTATGGAGACTGGCATTACCAACCTCCTGAAAATGATGGCTGTCTGGCTGTTATGTTGGCCTAATGACTTTCGTACTTTCTTGCTTGCTTACCAGGTAAGTCTTAAATAATGTACTAATATTCTGTGCATATTAGCACATTCTGGCTAACAACTCCTGGGACCAAATAAAAAGAAAAATGGCAGAGGTTTAATTGCACTTTCAGGGCACAGCACCACAACACAAGGATGATTCCCATTTATGTGTTGTGGTATGCTGAAATAAAAAAAGCATTGAGGTGCATTTGCAAGTCGCATTTGGAAAGCTATTAACATAGAAAGGCACTGCACTGTGGTTCATTGATTACAATGCATTGCGGGAACACATTCAAGTCAATGGGAAAGCACCACAAACACACCTCAACCGTGTGCAATGCCTGTGGTTGCAGTGAGATTGTTGTCAAAAATGAGGTTAAAACAGGTGGTGAGGAGGTGTTGCATCGCTTCCCCACTGCCTGGCAGTCACCTCTTGAGCGTGATCCGAAAGCAGATCAGGCTTCAGAGGCAAGGGAGATTTACATGCATGTCCAAATCTACCCTTAGGGCAGTTCATACCACAAAAACGCACTCCGTATGCGTACCGGATGTGTTTTTGCTTACAGTCCACACCACACTCTATTCCAGTGTGTTTTTGATGTATTTTGCTGTATTCCAGTATGGTTCTGTGCAGAAAAAAATGCAGCATGTTCTACAATTTTTCTGCACCGGAAACTGACTGCTATCTGTTGTTTTTTTTTTAACAGACAACCACTGTCTGTTCTTTATTTCTGTCTGTGTCCACTCTTTCAATTTTCCTGATCACCAGTGTTACTGGGAATGAAAGTGAGGTTATAGTCAAACTTTTTAATTTTGAGATATCTGATTCTCAGTGCAATAGTTCCTTTCTGCTGAAGCATAGATACCTGCTATAAGATGCTATATGGATTCCTGAGAGACACTTTATAACCATGAAAAGCACTGGATATGATATTCTGATTAGCTCTTTGCCGCTTTGATAAACAGTGGCCCCATCTACAAACTGCCCCAGCTAACACGTTTCACCTATATGATTACCCTTGTATAGGTAAAATGCATTGGTGTGAGGTGGTCTGTAGGTGGAAAGTGCTAGCTGAATAAACCGTATCATGTGGCATCATCATTAGGCAATTTTATCATTTGAATAATATGTTAACCAAGTGATTTTTATATATGTTATCTCTTGGTGCCTCATGCCCATTCCTTTTGTATCGGTATTAAAAGGAGAAAGAGATCCATCAGTGAGAAACAAGGGAAACCATGTGGGGGCCAGATGGTTAGCATGGAGAAGGGTATTGTTTTCCACTGTTAACCTGGGCCAATGTGTAAATAGTATTGAACTCAGTCTATTGTTGGTGGTAATATTATAGCAAGTAATTGCAACGGTCCTGAATACACCAATCAGACCAGGCATAAACTGAGCAAAAATATTTCTATACATAACATATTCTAGCTGCCTCACGTGTTTGTGACAAACCACCATGGCAAACCACCAGGTACCACCAAGGCAAGAAGGAAAATACATACAATAATACAACAAAAATGAACCTCAAAGGAATACCTGCTCAACTTCTTCTACAAGGACCCTGTACAGTCAATGCAGTTTACTACATTTTAGCTTACCTGTTGAATTCTAAGTCAAAAACGTTATTTTTCAGATCAGCAACTACTTGTTCTAGGCCGCGAACATAAGCAGATTTTTCAGTGCCGTGAAAAAACTCAGAATTATGTCTCATAAGGTATTCTCCAAGATAATTAACTGGATCAAATTTTACTGAGTCATCTTCAAGAACCTTTTTTTTATCGGCCTCCTTGAGCATGGCCTCAACCCCATGAACAACAGAAGGCATAATACTCTCAAGCAGATAAGCTCGTGTGCACACAGCTAATTTGTCTTGGCTGAACCATTCCTTTGCCAGTTCATCAGCAGGAGAGATTTCCTCAATCTTCTTCTGGTGGTCTTTTTGTTTTTTTTATGTTCTCTAGTATTTTTTGTTGCAGTTTTAATCCTCTTTCATGCATTTTTTTAGAGAATATTCTTTGATAGTCTTTATCAGTCTCTGTGGAATGGGGTAACTGTGTATTTTCCATGCTGTCATAGGTGAACTTAGCATTTGTTGTAGGAGTTTCCATGACCGATGACTGAATAACTCCTAATTCTGTAACTAAATCATTAGGAAAACAAAGAATCTATTATTATTATTTATTAGCAAACAGGATGTATATAGCACAAACAGTTTATGTAGCACTTTCCAACATAAGGGCAAACAGTACAATTTCAATACAATTTAATACAGTAGGGCCTTGCTCATTAGAGCTTGCAATTTAAGAGGGAGGGTCAATAAATACAAAAGGTAATAACTGTGGTTGGTGAGCTGATAATATGAAAGTTTAGTTGTTAGGGCAGGTTAGGCCTCTCTGAAGAGAAGGGTCTTCAGGGATTGTCTAAAAGTGGACAGAGTAGGAGACAATTGGACAGATTGGGGTAAGGAGTTTCATATGATGGGAGAGGCTCGGGAGAAATCCTGGAGGTGAGCATGAGAGGAGGTGATAAGGGAGACAGAGAGCAGGAGATCTTGGGAGTAACAAAGAGAACGATTAGGTTGGTTGGTGTTTTGAGACTAGGTTAGTGATGTAGTTGGAGGCAGAGTTATGGATGGCTTTGTAAGTTGCTGTTAGTATTTTGAATTTAATTTGTTGGGTGAGCAGAAGCAAGTGGAGGGATTGGCAGAGAAGGGTAGCAGCCTCTGAACAGTTGGTAAGGTGGATGAGTCTGGCAGCTGCATTCAGGATGGACTGAAGGGTGGATAGTCTATCTAAAGGTAGGCCAATGAGGAGGGAGGTGCAGTAGTCAAAGTGAGAGAAGACCAGGGAGTGAACTAGGAGTTTTATGGAGTCATGGGTTAGGAAGGGGCATATTTTAGAGTTGTTACAGAGGCTGAGGCGGCAAGCTTTGAACATTGATTGAATGTAGGGCCAAAAGGATGGTTCAGGTTCCAGGATTACACCTAGCATCTTGGCATGCATGGATGGGTTAATAGCTGAGCCGTAGATCTTGACAGAGAAGTCAGGGGAAGGGACATGTAGGGGAGAAAATTTTATGAGCTCGGTTTTGGATAGATTGAGTTTGAGGAAGTGGTGTGACATCCAGTCTGATATGTTTGCTAGTAAATTAGTGATGCATGTGGGGACTGACGAAGTGAGCTGAGGGGCACAGCGATAGATTTGGGTGTCATCAGCTTGGAAATGGTATTGGAAGACACAAATCTTATAATTGGATTCAAATTTAAGACACTTGTCTATTAAATAAACAGTGACTGTTTGATCATGCAAAAATGTTCTTTTTAAAGAGGAACTTTAGTCAGAAAATTAAGTCCTGCTACATCACTTTAGGCTGGCCCCTTTTGCAGGTATAGCTATGTAAAACATTAAAAGTAGGTGCCTATACTGTTTAAAAATCCAGTAATACACTGACTCACACTTCTGTGCAAATGCTCAGTTGCTCTCTGTTTTTTGGCAATGTGCCACATTTGTAGAAGCCGATCTGCTCACAGGCTAAACCAGGGGTGTCCAAACTTTTTTCAAAGAGGGCCAGATTGGATGAAGTGAACATGGTGGAGGGCCGAACATTTTTCTGAACATTCTTTGAACCATTACAATTAAATGCAAATAAATTATTTTATGCCAAGTTAATTGCAAACGACATACTTTTCATTTCATAACATTAAGATCAACTGACAGCTGAGTTTTCACAATGTATTGAAAATAAATTTAAAAAAAACTTACCTGCACTAATGTGAAGGGTGAAAAAGGTAGCTGGAGCTGAAGTCTCTGCTCGGCAGCCGGGAGGGGAAGAGAAACACACTTCACGCTGGAAGCCCGGCCCTGACGTCACCGCCCTCTGTCGCTCCCAGCGCGGCGCAGTCACGCATGCGCACTGCTCTCAAGCAGAAGACTGTCTGCCACAGAAGGGAGTGCCGTGCGACAGCCGCATTTACACAGACCAGGGAGAATGCGCCGCATTCAGGCATGCGCACTGCCCTCTGCTCTCAAGCAGAAAACTGTCTGCCATAGAAGGGAGGGCCGTGGGAGGGCCACATTACACAGAGCAGGGAGGGCTGTTGGAGGGCCGTATTAAACCGACCCCCGGGCCGTAAATGGCCCGCGGGCCGGACTTTGGACATGCCTGGGCTAAACATTTAATGCTGCTCAGGACTCTGAGCTTCAGGAAAATGGCAGCCTCCAGAAAGAAGAAACAGGGACAATGCTGGAGGAAATTTACAGCACACACTAATTTTTGTAGCAGAATTAGTAATGTGGAATGTATGTTCCTGGCTAAAGAACATTATTTTTTTATCAAGTTGTTATGGGTAAAGTTCCACTTTAAGAAGAATGAGATGAGTAGGGATTGTCTGTAAAAATACAGTTATACAGCTATACAGATAAAGTTGATTTTTAAAATTGTTATATGTAATAGGTTACTATTCGTTAGTGCATTTTATATACTACTCTTTACCTTACTGTGAAAGCTTGTAGCTACTCAATGAAGTTGGATGAGAGGGGGTTTAACCTTAAAATGCGTAAGGGTTTTTAATGTTAGAGCGCTAATTATGTGGAACTCCCTTTCACAATCAGTGGTTTCAGCCGGAAGTGTCACGAATTAAAAAAAAACTCTTAA